AATTGGTTGTCACTCTTTTTTCTTACTTTTCTCTTTTTCTTTCCTCTCTGTCCTTTTCTTTTCTCTTTTCTTTCTTTCACAAGCCTGTTGCACACTAAGCAAGTGCTCTACCACCGAGTATATTCCCAGTCCCGATGTTCTTTTTCTTACTAATGCAAATTGAAATGTAAGAGGCTCTTGCCAATAAGTCCACTTACTAGGAAAATGATAACGCATAATAATACTACAAAATTTAAAAAAAGTGTATTGTAATTACAGCATTTCATGTTTGAATTAAAATTTTGAAAGAAAAATAACAAATTTACTTTTTTATTGGCCACATGTTCTCACTTGTCAAGTGTATGAATTTTGGCAATGTGTGTTTAGCTTAAGAGCATAAAAAGACCATCCTGTTTACTGTGTGAAAAGTAGTTTTTTTTTCTGGCCAAGAGAAATTTAATATGAGACTTTTGTGGTGTTCCTCAGTTTCATTCTGTCTTTACAAAGCAGTTTGATAACCAGTGCCTCAAATTCTTAGAGAAGAAACTGAGCTGCTTGTCAGAGAAGGTATTTTTCCACTTGTTTTTCAAGTTTATTTTGTCATATTAGATTGCTACTGTAGATGGATGGGTCAACCAAAGAGAAAGTTCTTTCTGGATGTTGTTGTTAACAGCATGCTTTGTCTATGTAAAAGAACAACTGTCAGATGTAATACATGCTAAGACTAGTGTAATCCTCGCTATTGGGGGACTGAGATTGGGAGGATTGTGGTTTGAGGCCAGCCTGGGCAAATAATTCACAAGACCCCCACCCTCCCATCTCTAAAATAATCAGAGCAAAAGTGGACTGAAGTTGTGGCTCAAGTGGTAGAGCACATGCTTTGCAAGTGCAAAGTCCTGAGTTCAAACCTCAGTCTTAACCAAAGAATAAAAAAAGATCCATTTAGAATTACCTTACTTTAAAAGCACAGAGATGTTGTTATTAGCAGTGTCAGATCTCACATTTTACCAGCAGTCAAAAGTACATGAAAATATTTACAAAGACTCCCTGCCTCCTCCATTATTGTCTTGAGAGTGTAGTGAGGTTTCTTTCCAGTAATAAAAGTTCACTTCCTCATGTCTTAGGACTTTTTGATGCTAACTTGTACTATGCGTCCTCTCTTTAAATTCTTTTACTCTTTTCTATCTGCCTCATTTCTGAGATCTCTAGTGGTAAGTTCTACAATGGTAGAGTTGATAATGGTAGAACTTTTTGGAACATGGTCTGCTTCTTTGGTATACTAATGAATTTGGAGGGGAAAAGCCAGCTTGTAGACACTCAACTGTATTTGAAATGAAAGGAATATGAATAAAACATAATACAGAAATGTTAAAGCTGTAAGTGACTTGGAGGTACTCTTCAATTCCCTCTTCTAGAAAAGGAAGCAAAAGTTGCAAAGCTGGTCACATGATTTTTAGTGACTCCTAAGTAGCATAACTAGTAATAAGATGCCCTGGAAACTACAGCTCCATCCCCCTTCACAAAATCACAGTGAGTGTCCTGTGGAGTCACTGCTGTGTTTCTAAGTGAAAGCCAGTTTATGCTCCATATGCTATTTAAATAAGAAGGCAGTGATGAAAGCAAAGTTTGATTTCTGTGTCCTTTCCCCCAAGTTACTGTTCTGGTACTTCAAAAGATTAGCCTGTAACCATCTAGATCTTAATAATGTGACTTTGGACAAATAACTTAATTTGGCTTTGCCTTGTTTTTTCATCTGGAAAAATAAGGACAGTGCAACTCATTTTGTTTGTTATAAGCATTAAATAAGCCCTATGCCAGTGGTTCATGCCTGTAATCCTAGCTACTTGCTTGGGAGGCAGAGATCAGGAGGATTGCTGTTCAAAGCCATCTTGGGCAAATAGTTTGAGAGACCCTATCTCAAAAATTTGGCGGAGTGGCTCAAGGGGTAGAGCACCTGCTTTGCACATGTGAAGCCCTGAGTTCAAACCTTGGTCCCACACACACAAAAAAGCTTTCTGTGCCTCTTGGTCCTCTACCCGTTGAGCCACACTACCAGTTCTTTTGCTTTTAGTTTGTTTTTCAGATAAGAACTCATGCTAACTTTGCCGGTGCTGCGATCCTCCTACCTCTGCCTCCCCAGTGACTGGAAATTGAACCTAGGTATTCACACATGCAAAGCATGTGCTGTACCACTAAGCTATACCCCTAACCCCCATCATTTTACTTTCTGTGTCTATGAATTTGACTACCTTTAGGTACCTCATAAAAGTGTAATTGTATAGTATTTATCTAGTGTTTTAGTTAATTAATTAACTAATTAATTAATTTTGGCGGGTAGGCCTGGGGCTTGAATTTAGGGCCTCTTGCTCACAAAGCAGACACACAGAACAGGAGCCACACTACTAGTCCATTTTGCTCTGGTTACTTTGGAGATGGCGTCTCGTGAAATACTTGCCTGGGCTGGCCTAAAACTGTGATCCTCCTGATCTAAGCCTCCTAAGTAGCTAGGGTTACAGGCGTGAACTAGCAGCACCCTGCTAAAATTATTTTTGTGGTGCTGGGGATTAAATCCAGGGCCTTGCACAGGCACTCCAGTACTTGAATCAGGCCCTGCACCTGACTCCCTCCCCTTTTTGAGGTAAGATCTCTGTAACAATACTATTCCATTATATGTATATATCATATTTTGCTTATTTATCTGCTTATATCTGTTTAGGGTTTTTCTACCTTTTGGCTATTGTGAATAATGCTATTATGAACATGGGTTTACAAAGTCTCTTTGAGTTACTGCTTTCAATTAGTTTGGGTATGTACCCAGAAGCATAGTTGCAGAATCATATGTTGTATTAGTTACTGTAATGAACTACCTGGGACTAGGTAACTTTGTAGCTGCATAAGTTCCCAGTCTGCTGCTGCCTGAAAAAGCCAGTAAGGAGAGACAGACTGATGGGAGAAGAAAATATTTTGTTAACAACAGGCTAGCATGTTGATGGGAGAAAGGGGGATGTCCATGGGGGTGGGAATGCATGTGTGGCTAGCAGAAGGTCACAGCAAACAATCAGCCAGTGTTAGGGCCTTGAAAATAAAAAGTCGTATTTGTTTAACCAGTCCATTGTTGAAAAAGTTGTTTATTCTAGGCTGCTTACCTAAAATGTTAGTCAAGTGAACTGAGAAATAATATTTAATAAAGTGGCCAGAATATAAATGCATAAAATCCATATTAACTCTGACTTGGTAAGATGTACTTTATAATAGCAGTAATAGAACATGGAGCAAAATGTATAAGACTTAGGATTATTACAGTACTTTTAATGAAAGATTGAAATAATTGAGTGGGCAAACCATGAGCCTGGGTGGAGAGATTTGATAGTGGTTAAATACTAAGACCTGATAAAAGGTAGTTCTTCTCAAACTAACACAGTATAATTCTACTCAGCATAACCAAGCCTAGCTCCAAAGTGATTTCTAAAGCTTATTTGAAATGTAGGAGATGAATCTAGACAATTTGAAAACATTCCAACTTCTTTTCTTTTTTAGCATTCCTGGGCATTAAAACCCTGTGCACCTGCACATGCTAGGCAAGCTTTCTACTGCAGAGCTACATTCCCAGCCATTGGTTTTTGAGACAAGCCTCACTATGTAGCCTAGGCTGGCCCAGAACTCATGATCTTCCTGCTTCTGCTTTCCACGTGCTGGGATTACAAGCATGTGCCACCATACCTAGCTGTTCCAAATCCTTGATCTGCTGTATAAAATAGTACCTAGTACAAGATGTAATAACAGACCTAGTGTTTATTCAGGAATGAACAGACTAATGGAAAAAATTGAGGACCCAGATACAGACTTTCTATATATTTTATTTAGCATATAACTTCTAATTAGTTGGGAAAGGGTAGAGTTTTTAATTAGTGGTGGATGACTATTAGTTATCCATTTGGAAATAGAAGCTTTCTTGATGCATATAATCAAATTCCAGATGGCTGAGTGCTTTAAATGTGAAAAATTCATAACATACTATTCCAAAATATTTAATTTTAGTCTAAGATATTGAAGTTAGAAACCAAAAAGAGAATCAAATTGATTACGTAAAAGGAAGAACTGACAATATTTTATAAGCTGTATTAAAAGAAACTCAAAAACTATTTGGCAGTGAGTTTTAACATTTTTTGACAAAATAAATGCAGAAAATAGAAAACTGAAATTTCTGATTTTTTTCTCCTTTGTGTATAAAAATGTTTATACAGGTGGGAGAATTTATAAATTTTTGTTTTTTGTTTTTTTGGCAGTATTGAGGTTTGAACTCAGGACATTGCATTTGCTAGACAAATACTCTACCACTTGAGATATACCCAGCCCTTTTTGTTTTGGGTTATTTTTCTGATAGGGTCTTACTTTTTTGCCTGGGGCTGGCCTCAGACCATGATCCTCCCATCTGTGTCTCCCTTGTAGCTGGTATGACAGATGTGATGATGCACATCTGTTTTGTTTTGTTGAGATATAGGGTCTCTAACTTTTTCCCTGGGCTGACCTTGAACCAAGATCCTCCTGATCGCTTCCTCCCAGTTAGCTGGTATTGCAGGTGTGAGCCACCATGTCTGCTCAGATAGTTCCTTTTATTTTGAGACAGGGTTGTGGTGTGTAACCCAGGCTGACCTCATACTTGAGATCCTCCTGCCCCAGTCTCCAGACTGCTTAGCTTACAGGTGTGCTCCACCACCCCTGGCTTCCCTTTTTAAACTTAAGGAAATCTGTAAAAAACTACAAGAGTTTCAAAATGTCCTTTTTAAAATGGGAAGTTTTTTTTTTTTTCCTTGAGTAAAATAATGCACTTCTTGAAGAATTAAGGCTATCAGGAAAATTTTCTTAAAGTAGATTCAAATGGGTACAAACGTAATGTTGATGCTAGAAGGTTAAACAGTGTTTATTGCTCCATATAAATATTTTTTGGTCGTACTAGGGATTGAACTTGGGGTCTCTATAAATATTGATCAATCTAACTTTAGGTGTCTTATTTTGTTTAGTCAGGTCAGTTCAGTGAAGACATGATACCTACAGTGGGCTTCAACATGAGGAAAGTAACTAAAGGTAACGTCACAATAAAGGTACGTCACCTTCTTGCCATGCTTGAATTAAATTGCTAGCAGAAATTTTTTGTTTGTTTCTCTGGTTTTGAGTATTTGCAGTCCTGAATGAGCTTGTTCTGAAAGAATGTAAATCAAGTATTTTCAGTTGTCTAGTAGATCAGAATGAGTAAGAGAGGAAATGTTAAGTGCCAAGAAAAAGAAAGAAACAAAACATAGTATATATGTTTGCATAAGTAGCATTTGGGATATAGATAGTGTTTGGATTGTCATACTACATTTTTTCATGACTATTTTATGTTGGAAGGTAACAATTACTTAATCCATGGAAGTTTAGTATAGTTGAGGTAGCAAACTGTAAAACAGCTTGCCTTTCCTTTATTGTTAAGCCTAAAATTGAAGGTTTAACATAATTTTCTACTTTTTTGTTTTGTTTCCTTTTTTAAATTTATTTTTCACGGTGCTGGGAATCAAACCCAGGGCCACGTACTTGCTGGGCATGTACTCTACCCCGATCAGGTTACATCCTCAGCCAGTGAATACAATTTTCTTTTTAGATGAGCTTGACAGCTTTAAACACTGGACTGTTGGACTGTTTGTTAGGGAAAATACTTTTGCTTTTTTCTGTCGTTGCCGTTTTAGTTCAGTAATTCATGAGAGTTTACTTTTATGGCCTGTACCACAATAACCATTTTGCCCAATTTTTGTGGTTCACACAGTCTGTTCACTAAACTGTCTCTGTGATTCTTCTAATGATGCTCCTAATTTAGTTGTGTATATGTGTTTTACCAGTGTCTATGCCTAAGTTGGAAAACCCTGGGAGTAAGTACCATGACTTAGGAGTTTTATGTAGCCCTGTGGTTAGCATGTTGCCCTACACAGTAGGCTGAATAATGAAGTCATGGAAAACGCCCAGTTGGGCATGTGGGCTATGTTATTTACAGGACAGTTTTAAATGACAGTATAAATGTGGACCATGTGAGACAACCAAACTTTAATAGATTCTCACCTGTTGGTTTTGGTCTTGGCATTTAATTCTGGATGATGCATCATTCTGTAGATTTTAAAATTGTTACCTTGGTGAAGTATATATTCAGTATTAGAAATGTATTGATGAACAGGCAACATACACTACATCTTTGCTTAAGCAGAATTTTAAATCTAATATAAGCATATTACACATGGCCTTCAGCTCAAGTTTCTAGGAACTTTGGCTGTACCACTGTAAAATTGAACATATTTGTGTGATCTCACTCAGCTTCTTCACTCAGTGAGTTATTCGAATTGCCTTGTTAAGAGTTGTCTCGTCTGCTTTAAAGATCTGGGACATTGGAGGACAGCCCCGATTCCGGAGCATGTGGGAACGGTACTGCAGAGGAGTCAATGCCATCGTGTAAGTTCTTTTTTGTTTTGATGCTCTGAAAGATTGAATCTGCATCTGAGGCAATAAAATCTTTAATTCCATCAACATGAGGATTTTAAAAATTAGTCAGAAAAAGAGGCTTCCTTGTGTTTTTTGTTCACGCAGGTAAGAGCTACAGGACATAAATGTTTTACTAAGCATGTACTTGTGTCTGAGCAGTCTGGTTAAAAGTATTTATGTATGTTAAGCTCTTCTTTACCTAGGACTTAACTTATTAAGAATGTCAGTAACATAAATCCAAAGAAAATTAAAAATCAATAATTCTAGTCATCACCATCAAGACATATGGAGAAGGTATGTTGAAATCACTTCATTTTTCTTTTCAAGTTACATGATAGATGCTGCAGATCGTGAAAAGATAGAACCTTCTCGAAATGAACTACATAATCTTCTAGATAAACCGCAGTTACAAGGAATTCCAGTAAGTGTGGGCTATTTGTTGTTTTATACTCATAGTTGAACGATAGTAATCACCTCTTACTATCCGTGGAGATTGGTTCCAGGATCTCTACCATACAAAAGTCTGAGGGTTCTCAAGTACCCCTCTTTAACCTGGAATCCATGTAAAGAGCCATTAATGAATTTTCTCATGTGTGTCCAACATGTCTTTACTTACTTACTTACTTGTTTTTGGGGTACTGGGGATGGAACCCAGGGCCTTGTGCATGCTCAGCAAACGCTCTGCCATTGAGCTGAATCTCTAGCCCTCTAGTTCTTGTTTGATTATTGGTTTGAGACTGCATCTCACTATGAAACCCAGGCTGGCTTCAAACTTTCTATCTTCCCACAGTGGTCTCTAGAGCTTTGGGATTATAGGAACAAATCACTGCGCCCAGCTCCTCAAAGTCCTTTGTGTAAAATGGCATAGCATTGACATATAACCCATGTTCATCCTCATATTTCCTTGAAATAATGTCTTGACTACTTATAATACCTAATAAAATGTCAGGGCTGTGTAAATAATTGTTAGATTGTATTATTTAGGGAATGACAAGAAACAAACGTCTGTACGTGTTCAGTACGGTTGGAACTTTTTTCCAAATATTTTTGGTGTGTGGTTGGTTGATTCCCTGGATGTGGCACCTGGGGCTATGGAGGACTGACTGCATATTATGTCTGAAGTTAGTAAGTGTCTTATTCTGGGCAGTATGCTACTGGGCTGTTTATGAATGCCTTCATCAGGCATCTACTAAACTATTTTGTAGAAGGACATGGTAATACAGAAGTCATTAGAAACATACTGCATGCATGGTGGATCTTACAGTTAGTGGAAAAGGTGGATGCTCTGCGAATGCTGGAATAATGGCAGATACGAAGGACTTTGAGAGTTGTAAGTTAAAAGGGAGATAGGATCCAGTTTGAGGGGAAGAAGGAAGTACTCTCTGAGAAAGTGGTGTGTGCACTGAGATCTGAAGGGTGTATAGGAATTTGAAGAATGGGAGGATAGGAAGGGAAGAGTTCCTGGCAAAGGCCCTTTGGTAGGAAGCAGGCTCCCTAGGCTCTCGAGAGCTGAACAGAGTAGGGAGGGTAGAGCAGTGTGTGTCATGCCATGCTGCAGTTAGGACACTAGAGGCCGCACTGGGCAGGACTATGTGAGAAACCATGAAAGTGTTCTAAATGATGCGGTTTATAATTTGAATATACCATTCTGATTACAGTTTAAGAATGAACTGAAGACCAGGTATGGTGGTATATTCTTGTAATTCTAGAACTCAGGAATCAGAAGCAGGAACATCAAGGACAGTCTGGGGTACCTAGTGAGACCCTGTCTCAACAAAAAGAAAGTGGTCAACAAGTGTCTCTGAGGAGGGTGGTTATAGGAAGCTTTTTTTGATAGTAGAACCTTGAATTAGGGTGGCATGGTAGATAAGATGGGGAGGAGGAGAGATACTTAATAGCATAGCCATTAGATTTGGTAATAGATTAGAAGGAATAGTATAAAGATAATTCCTAGATCCTTACTCTTGTAATTAGATGGAGGGTGGTACCTTTAGTTGAGCTAAGGAATGCTGGGAAAGTACCAGGTTTTAGCCTCATCACAAGCTCATGAAGGTCAGAGACTTGAAATGTATTACTTTGGTTAATCCTTACAACATTTTGAGGTTTGTGGTGCCAGGTTTGAATCTCTGTCTGCCTGGTTCAAAGCTTGTTCCTTCTGTATTAAATATTAGTTCTGTATTTTTATCTTGGTCATCATAAAGGTTCTTAGTTGCAAACAATAGAGAACTGACTTAAGGGAACTGCAAGTGTGGTCCAGTGATAGAGTGCTTGCTTAGCATTTATAGTGCTTGCCTGCTTTCAATTGTACCTTAAAAAACTAGCAATAAATTAAAAAAGAAAGTGAATTTAACTAGAATGGATTTATTGGAAGGAGATTGGGTTGCTCACAAAGTCTATGGGAAGACTGCACATAAGCAGAGTCAGAAAATAAGCTGTAACAGGGAAGGTAAGCTGCCAGGCTCACATCCAAATTCATACCATAAAATAAATCTAGTGATAAGTTGAAGTTTCTGAACAGTGGGCAATGTTGCTATCATTGGAGGTGTTCGAGTTGATGCTCTTCCAACATTGCAGTGGGTTTGCTCTCCTTGCTTTCTTGCATCACTGAATCTGTATTTAAAGTATCAGTTGATTCTAGATTATGTGCCCATGCTGAAGCTGAAAGGAAAGCTGGGAAAGAAATCAATTATCTATGGAAGTAAGTAACTTTATTGAGAGGAAGGAACATAAGGTGTGGAAAAGATGCCAGGCAATCATGATCACAATTATTCATGGTATATGATTAGAAACTGAACAAGGTGCAGCTTGAGAACCTGGAGTAACTTCATTAACTGCGTGGTGAGGGTTAAGATTAGGGAAGGGAAGACATGCAACCAAATTTAACATTCCCCTAAAACTTTTCAGCACCCATGTCTGACTGTCCCTCTGCCCTTGCTTCCTTGTCCTTTGTGTACAATTGAACTAAGAGTCTAAGCCTATGAGGATATTGTTCAAAATGTCTGGAACTGGGGCCCAGGGAAGTATTAAGTGTGCAAGGGTGTGGTGTGTACTTTGTTGGGGTGGATGAAGAGAAAGATTCTGACTTGAAATGTGGATGCTATCAAGTAAGTTTATATACTCATACTCTCTGTTTTCGGTAGAGGAGAAAAGGATATTATATCTGGTAAAGGCAGTGGTGATTGAGAAGGCCTTCTTAGCTCTCTTTTGAAAGAATATTTAACACTCAGATAATAACATTTACTTGCAGAGCATATGATTACTATATTCATCCTGATGTCCATCCACATTTATCCATTGTCTTGGAATATTTAAAAATGATATTCTAAAGCTGGGCATGGTGGCACCCATGTGTAGGGAGATTAAGACAGGAGGATCAAGAGTTCAAGGTCAGCTTGAACCTCAAACAGAAACAAAAGACAAAGCAAAAAAAAAAAGGTGGTTTATATGATGGATTCTGAATTTTACTGTATTTATTTAATTTTTGAGTCTGGCTTTCACTGTATGGCCCAGGTTGGCCTCAAACTCACTGTCTTCCTCCTTCAGCCTGCTGAGTGTTGGGATTACAGTCATGTACCACCATACCCAGCTTATTTTATTTGTTCATTTTTTGGTGCTTAGGATTAAACCCAGAGCCTCCGGCATGCTAGTACATGCACTTGTCACTGAGCTGCACTCCCAGTCCCTGGATTCTGAACTTTAGAAACCTTTTTGTACATGTTCACACATTTACTGGTTGACAGATAAAAAATGGTTTCTCCATCTTTGGTTGTTAAGTTGTATTCTTGTTTTGCTTATGATTTATTAAGAAATAGCAGAACCCACAACAAAGACTTAGAATTTTTTCCTTTAGTGCTAGGGATTAAACCCAGATGGGTATGTGTTCTACCACTGAGCTACAGCCTTAGCCCAAGACTTAGAGTTTTTTATTTTGTTTGTTTATTTATTTATTTTAAGTAAAAGTTGTACACATACTGAATGTGGAGCATCTTCATGGTAGACGTTAAGTGAATGCCAGTATATATTAAATGAATGAGATAGACCACCGGTTACACAAATAATGCTTTCAGATTGAGGTATGTGTTAACTCAAACCAGTGTTAACATCTTCAGATACCATAATGATATGCTTCTGTGACAGGTTTTATACATAAAAGTTTACCTTTCACCTTTTTTCTGTTTAAAGGTACTAGTTCTTGGAAACAAGAGAGATCTTCCAAATGCCTTGGATGAGAAACAGCTAATTGAAAAAATGTATGTCCTAAGATAATGAAAATGTTGTTTTAAAATTTTGATTCCAAATTATACTGTTTTGCTTACTATTTTGTTTAGCATTGTTACATTATTCAGTAATTATCATAATCGTGTTTTAGGTAGATAAACCTGACCTACCAGAGAAGCAAGACCCTAAAATTTTAGTAGTAGCAAAATAATTTCTTCAGCATAGTAATGAAAATAAGTAAAATTGAACAGAGTGATGAGTATAACAGCTGTTCTAAGCACAGACTTATTTGATTAATTCTGATTTTTATAGGAATCTGTCTGCTATTCAGGATAGAGAAATTTGCTGCTATTCAATTTCTTGCAAAGAAAAGGATAATATAGGTAAGAAATAACCGGTATTTTTGGAAGAAATGGATATCTTTGGGAGGAATCTGTAATGCTTCTTACTGTTTATTATCCCCGTTTCTGTTTAAATGACTTTCTTTAAAGAGCACCATTGCTTTTGCCTGAGGAAAAAGCATAGACATTATACCTTTTGGCAACAGATACAACATCCTAAATCTTCTCTGTGCAACTTGAAGAAATAATGCCGTGAGGTTAAACATTTGTGATGCCAATTTATTGTTTTAATTTTTTGTAGAGCTAGTATCCAACTGAAACAAAATGATGTTTTTGAAATAAGAGTTTGCAGAAAGTGTTATACAGGTACTAGAACAACTTCATTTATGGACTCAGTATATTACTGCAGTATGTCATCACTATTGGAAGTGTAAGCCAAAAATAGACTTTATCCACTTAATATTGTGTTTATTTCCTAGAACTGCCTTAACAAAGTACTACAACCTATGTGGTTTAAAACAGAAACTTACTCTCTCATGCTCACAAGGCTAGAAGGCTTAATCAAGGAGAGATGGGGTCATGCACTGGGGGAAGATCCATCCTTGCCTCTTTCTGGAAAGCTTGGGCTGCGTGCCAGCATTCGTGGCCATTTCTTGCCTATAGGTGTACCGCTCCACTCTCACATGGCCTTTTCCTCTGTGTGGGTGTATTGTCTTGGTTTAGGCCCCACCCTGATCTTACAGCATGATTTTATTTTAGCTGATTCCTTTTGCAGAGGTCTTCTGTACAAATAAAGTCACACTCTGAGATTGTGGGTGGACATGAATTTTTAGGAGGACATTATTCAATTTAGCACAGTGTCCTTAAAAATCATACATATATACATATGTACTTTAATTTTTTCTTTTTTTTCATGCTGGGGTTTGAACTTAGGGCTTTGTGCTTGCCAGGCAGAGTCTCTTCCACTTGAGCCACACCTCCAGTCCTATAGATATGTACTTGATAGCTCAACTTCAGTCTCTTAACTAATTTAGTGAGGTAGTATTTAATAAATAAGTACATTAGAATAAGTGTAATAAGTAATATCAAAGTAGTATATTTAGTAAGGAACTGATATTTTTTTATCCTCTATTCAGTATGTTTCAGTTCTCATCATTCACAACTGGTTTTCAAGTTAATTGCAGTGTATCCTCCATCTCACCTCCAAACATGTTCCAAAGAGCTCAGAATGTTCAAAGTTGTTGTGGCAGATTCTGGGGTTCCTTTAAAGACCATGTAAAGGCAGTGTAAGCCATGATGGACACAAAATTTCCTCTGTTAAGTGGAGAGAGTAAGTGACTCTAGGGTACTAGGAGCATTCAGTTGAGAACAGACTCTAAAAAGTATTTATGGTTAATTGGTCTTTAAAGTTTTTTACATGCGAGTGGGAGAATCTCTTGTTAAATTTTAATGTATGCATTCCCTCTCTCCCATGAGAGAGCTTACTTCTACATCAGTGTTTTCAGAGGCAGTGTCTAGAGTCGTTTTTCTTTCCACTGTGTTGAGTGCGTTGTCTCCTCATAACGAGGAGACTGGCGTTGAGGAGACATCTCCAGTGACTAGAGATGTTGCTAAACACCCTGCAGTCCACACACTAAAGGATTAGCCAGCATGAAATATCACTAGTAGTAGACTGAGAAACCTACACTAACTGTAGTTTCGGTACATTGTACCATTCAATGACTCCATTACTCCCTTACACATTCTGTTATTTCCTAAAATTGAAAAGAAGCTTTTGAAGGGGGGAGGATATCTTTTTTTTTTTTTTAATCACTGTCACAAGCTAGCTGGGTACTTTCCTTAAAAAACAAAACCAAAAAACCTCTTTTATGTAGCTCATTTATGTAGGAAATGCAGCAAAGGTGGTGAGAATGTCTTTTGCTATTTGAGGCCGATCTTCACAGTTTGCCTTGGCTTAATAATCACCAAGCTTATAATTTTAGAGCTCTTGATTCACTTAAAGTGTTTGCATGTCTAAAGAAATTAATTTTTTTTTTTCTTCTAGTTGGGTCTGGGGTTTAAACTCAAGGTTTCATGCTTGCAAAGCAGGTATGCTACCACATTAGCCACACCTACAGTCCATTTTGTTCTGGTTAGTTTGGAGATGGAATCTTGAGAACTGTTTGCCCAGGCTGGCCTCGAACCTTAATCCTCCTGATCTCAGTCTCTCAGGTAGCTAGGATTATAGACTTGAGCCACTAGCACCTGGAGAAATTGATTTAGTCCTCACTAGATTCAAAGTAAATCAGAATGACTGGTAATTTGAAGACAGAAATCCAACTAACAGTCAAGTGGATAGACTTCTTGGGTTATCAAGCCACGATAGTCTTCTTTGATTTCAGCTTTTTTTTTGAGTGTATAGACAGATGTTTATTAAGGGAAAGAACATGTGAGCTGGGAAGGGGTCCCTAGGGCAGGCTCTGATTTCAGCTTTTATGACATGTTTTGATTCTTTTTTTTTTTCCTGGTACTGGGGTTTGAACTCAGGGCCTCACACTTGCTAGGAAGGTGCTCTTACCATTTGAACCACTCTACCAGTCTGCAGATTTTTTAATTTACTGAACTGCTTCAAGAAGTATTGCAGTGCTCGTGGTTTTGTATATGATAGCTCTGTTTGCCTTTCATGGCAAAGGAAGTACCTTAATTTCATGAGGAATGTGTGCTTAAATCACATGGAGGACACACTGGTGGCTCATGCTTCTAATCCTGGCTACTCAGGAGTTGGAGATCAGGAAGATCACTGTTTGAGGCCAGTCCAGTCAAAAAGTTATTGAAACCCCATCTCAGAATAAACCAGATGTGGTGGTCCGTGCCTGTGGTCCTAGCTACAGGGGTATCCATAGATAGGAGGATCTGGTAGTCTGAGGCTGGCCCCAGGCAAAACCATGAAATACTACCTGAAAAATAACTTAAGGCAAAAAAGAAAAAGAAAAAAGGGGCTGGGGATGAGGTGGAAGTGGTAGTGTGCCTTCCTCAAAAGTGTGAGGTCCAGAGCTCAAACCGCAGGGCTGCTCAAATAAAAATAAAAATCACATGAAGAACAATAGGAACTTGGTCCTTGCAAAGATTGTTTTTACCTGTGACTCTTGCATGGAAGATTACTCATACACCTTAGTGTCTTCTGCCTTTTTTTTTTTTTTTTTTTTTTTTTTTGTGGACTTGAGGATTCATCTGTCTTTGGGATATTTATTACCTTTTATTCAGTGTCTACAGAAGTTTTTTTTTTTTTTTTAAAGTGAGTTTCTTAAATGTTAAAACTTGGTCATTTCACTTCAGGTTTACCTTTCCCCCTCTAATTATACACTGCAATAATACGAGATGTAAAAGACCTGTTTGAGCAGTTGTGTTAAGTCATTGTTTTCATGACAGAATAGTGTTTGTTCAGATCCCAGCTCTAGGGTGTTCTTTATGTTTGTGTGGCTTATGTGCAGTTTTCTTCAATGTGTGTTAGCTGGGAAACTGGGAGATTGAATTTATATTTATCTTTCAGGCTTGGAGGATAGAGTGCTACTTGTGATAGATTTCTCTTGTGTATTTTATGAACGTAGGGCAGTAACTCATTGCTCCAGTTTAGCTGCCTTCTCTTCTCAGCTTTTTTTGGCTGATCTCCACTACTATAGCTTTAACGGCCACCTGTATGAAGATCCCATGCCAGCCTCCATCTCTCTGCAGAGTGCCATCCACTGCCCCTTCAACTTGGTAATGCTTGCAGCTGGATTTTTCATCCTTTGTCCTCATAACTCTTTTCCTCAGCACAGTTTTATTTAGCAGGTTCATGACATCATTCAGGCCTGCATTGTATACTCACTTTCCAGCTCCTGTTCGTTTTCCTTTCTTCCTTCCTTCCTTCCTTCCTTCCTTCCTTCCTCCCTCCCTGCCTCCTTCCCTCCCTTCCTTCCTTCCTTCCTTCCTTCCTCCGTCCCTCCCTCCTTCCCTCCCTTCCTGTCTCTTTCTTTCATATAGGAGCATTCTATGTAAGCCAGTTGGCCTTGAACTCATGATTCTCTTAACTCAGCTTCCTGAGTGCTGGAATTACAGGCGTCTACTACCATGCCTAATTATGTTCATCAGTTTACTTTTCTTTATCCCTACAGTGTTTGGCTCCAGGCCTTATCCCTTTCTATTCAGTTGTGGTAGTCAGTCTGCATATTGGTAGCCCTCCAAGTTGCCCTCCTGTTGCCATTGCTAACTTACTAATATGACTTCTGCTTAAAATTCTGCAGTAACTTCCTATTTACTTGAAAATAAACTCTCTTAACTTTTTAGCATCAAGAGTGGCATGCAAAGTTATCTGGCTCCCTGTAGGGGTTTTCAATTCAAGACAGTTTTGCTTTCCAGAGAACATTTGCCAAAATCTGGAGACATTTTTTGGCTGTAACAGTGGGAGTGGGATGATAACAGCATGTAGTGGTTAAAGCTGTGGTTGCCCTAAAACATTCTAGAAAGCACAGGAAAGATTCACCCCTAGGAACAGGAAGGAATTATCCAGCCCAAAATGTCAAAGGTTGTGAATCTCGCTATAGCCTTCATAGTGAGTGACAATACCTTCCCTCTGTGCTTTAGCTACATCTTATAACTTACTGTCCATCCAGAGTCCCTTGCCGGTTCCTGCCCTTTCTCATTTTTTGTTTTTGCAGTTTCCTTTACCTGGCATTCTACAAGGTGACTCCACTGCTCCCCTGCAGACCCTCCCAACTAAAATGATGACTTGGGTCTTTTCTGTTACACCTAAAAGTTCCTTGGGAACAGAAGTTTCTCCATTATCTTCATATTCCTGGCAATTTGCACGCAATGCCGGGTGTCTCTCTGTCTGTCTGTCTCTTGGCGGTACTAGAGTTTGAACTCAGGGCTTTGTACTTGGTAGGTAGGTACTCTACTACTTGAGCCATGCCTCCAGCCCACAATACTTGATCTTATAGGCAATGAATAAAAAATGGCATCAGCTTTCCTCTGCACAATTTAATTTTTAAAATCAGAAGACCCCTTGGTCTGGTAATTTCTCGTATTATCCTCCTGAAGTGTAGGTAGTTGAGTACAGATGCTGACCCAATGTGTACCTTGAATTAGCTGCATTTTAAGTATTGACTTTGTTCAATGTTTAGTTTCTTAACATAACACTTTCACTTTTCCCCCATTTTTAGATATCACACTTCAGTGGCTTATTCAACACTCAAAATCGAGAAGAAGCTGAGACATCCATGAAGTCTTCCAGTCCTTCTTGGCTATAATCCTAGAATTATTGTCCGTTCCTCTGAAGTACTTCCCAGAATACGGTCCTTCCTAAACCCAAGAAATTGCCTTTTTCAGAGTTTATTTCTCATGTGCACTGCTGAAGATGTATATCCCTAATCCTTCATAATGAATCAGCTAGAGTTGTCATGATAAAGTCAGCACACACACAGTAAGGCTTCTCACACATACTTGTCTTAGTGTGTAGAGTTTTTTCTTCTTTTTTAAATCTCCTTCAAAAAAAAAAAAGATTTTTGACCATCTTAAATCAAGAAAATTGGATATGTTCATTCTGGTCTTTCTGGGCCAGATTTTTATATTGGTTTTCAGTAAATTTTAGTCTGTAATATTTCATTATAGAGTCCGGTAGCCTAATACTGATACTGACATGATACCGCATGAAGTTTCTAGTGCCACACACAGTATTTAGAAAACCTTTAAGCCTGACTCATGTGGGAGTATAATGTTTATTTTATCTCACAAATGCATGTGAAATATAATTACACTGTAGGAATTTAAAAACTGGTCTGCAAAGAGTGAGCAGAAGCACCAGTTCAACGTTGTTGGTTCTTACTGAGAGCTCCTCCCTGATGGATTTTATAAACCTGCTTTCTGAGAATCCCTTATCAGCAGATAGCAGTTGGGGAGATGGGAGAAGTTAAAGCATGCTGTTTTGTATCTATCTGGATTATTACTTTTTTTTTCCCCCCTTTTAACAATTTTTTAAGGGGTTGGGAATTGAAGATTTTCTCAAGCTTTCATGAATTTAGAGCATTCCAGCCAATACAATAAAACCTGTTCACAATGTCAGATTTTATTCAAATACTTGTTTGTTCTGTCTCTAGTCATTGAATCAGTGCTGCTGCACAACACTCTAACTCTTGACTTTTTATATCCAGTCATAAAGTTGACTTTCAGCACAAAAGGTAGTTATAAACAAATAAAAATTCTTATTTTTCTCTTACCAAGTAAGGTTTGGCACTCTTTTGTCCGGTGCCATTAGACGTCTTGATTATTGTGACAACTCTAGACCTGCCTGCTTTATCTAATGTAATCATGCGCAATGTCTACAGGTTGTTTAATAATCAATCACACAGAGGACTGAGGAACCGATGCTGTTTATTATTTGCTTCTATAATACAGATGTATAAAAACTTAAACATGTTTTGTAGTTTAGTGATCTCCATATATATAAAGGGACATATTAATACTGGTTCACTTGTAAATTGTTATTCACATACACTGCTGTAGTAGATAAGTCTGTGGTACATCTGCTTATGTGTTGCCTCACACTGTGTGTGATTTTCTTTCTGTTGTTAAGCAGCACTTTTGTAGACAGTGCATTTTCATATGTGTTGAACACTCAGTGTGTAGTCAACAGTAAGTTCTTTTAATGGATACCAGTTTTAATTTATAGACTGCCATGGCCTTAAAAATATTCTGTACAAAATACTGCGCTGTGTTGCACAGACACTACTTGTTTTCCTCCATTCACATTTTTAATAAGTAAAGTGTGGGCTTTAGAAGTTCTCTTATTCTTTGAGGCATGTTGGATACTTCCAGATGGAATGGGTGATTCTGTAAATGAAGGGAAATTTAAACTGTTGCTTTAGCTTGACATCATTAATGGTCAGTGCGATCCATTACAAAGAATGTGGCAACTTGCTTGTGCCTAAACAGATGGATTAGAACTAGAATGTGTGACTGTGGGGACTATTTAGGTTTATTAATTGACCTACAGCTAAACCTTAATGTTTTTGTGTGTCTGTTCATTGCTTTCAGCTTTTTAAGACATCTAAATGCTACTACCATTTTCCTGTGCATAACCTCTGCATGTCAAAACAGTTACTGAACTTTGTAAATACGTAAATTTTTTATTTGGATGGATGCATTTTTTGTCTGTTTATTGCTTTTCTCAGCTTTGTTCAATAAACTTGCATTTTGAGGGTTGTATTGGCAATTTTAACTTAAAATGTACATCATGATGAAAGATGCAGACTTTTTGAAAGGGAACGGGAAGAAAATTACTATGAGTTGGGTCCATAGACCATGTGCTAGAAAGAAATTAACTCAGTGTGCAGAGTTTGGTCTGTGGGCTAGTTAAAATAGAAATAAACTTTTAAAATATCCACAGAGTTGATATTGTGATTCTTATTTTTGTTGGGAGGAGGGTGCTACTATTTGTAAACTCACCATAATACCAAATTTAGGCAGGCACTTTTTTGGGGGTGGGGGGCAGGGGAGGGAATCCGTGCTGGGGTTCAAATCCAACTCCTTGCAGTTGCTAGGAAGTATTCTACCACTGAGCTACCCCAGCCCCAGATTTAAGACTTTTAATTGAAATAAAACATTATTACTTTTTTTCTTCAGTACTGGGAATTTTAGAATTCTAGGTATAGTGCTCTACTCTGTCATTCCCAACCAAAAGTCCCGGTTTAAAAATCAAAGACATATGCAGAAGCTAAAATTAGTATGGTGGCGCATGCCTGTAATTCTAGCACTCAGGAGGCTGAGGCAGGAGATAGTGAGTTTCAGTCTAGCCTGAGCCATTAAAGTAGTGAGACCCAGTCTCAAAAAAACACTAAGTAAGATAAAATTGCAAGACATGCCTATTTTAAAGCATTTGGTCCGTTAGCCAATATGTTACCATCTGCACTAGAAAAAGTCAGTATTTATCTCATCAAAATTATTAGCGAAATGATCCACTACTTGGTAAAGTTCAGTTGACTTTCCCTCTTTGTACATGCTGTCATTCTGTACAGCTAAACCTTATTGTCTGAGTATGTCATTTTGCTTTTCTATCCCTATGAATTAGTGGTGCTATTTACTCAGTATGGTACCCTAGAAAGGAAGAGCATGGGTGGAAGATATGCATTTAGCTATGTTTGCATCTACTTTCAAAAACTGAGGCTTTAGGTGGGCATGGTGGCTCATGTCTGTAGTCTCAGCCCTTGGCAACTAAGGCACGACTGTCATGACTTCCAGGCTGGCTTAAAAAAACCAACAATAAAAACCTCTTGAGATTTCTAAAATTAATCCCTTTGATTCTGTCAAGTAAGGAAGTTGGGTGTTTTGAACTGTGGCTGCTTTAGTGTTTTTTTTTCTTTTTAATTTTGATGTGTACTATTGTTACCTGCATAGGATATAGTTACACTGCTTTGGTAATTCCAGCCTCACAGGGTCTGGCAGTATGAGAACAGGAGTGGAAGTTTAAATGTGTTGTAGTGAGCACCTTGCAGTAACAGCACCGTGGCCAAATGCTTTACTCTCAAAGTGTGCCACCCTGGGGGAAACCATCATGTTTGATGCTTAAGATTTTTTCATTACAAACTTTTAAGGTCACGCCCTCAGCAATGCATGCCAGTGAAGAGACGTGAGAAGGAAGACAACAAAGCAAACAATAACCACTGATTTCCTGTCAGTTTGCTGTTGTACAACTGTGTGGCCCACTGCAGGTGTTTCCTGTTGGTAAATCTCCTCGCAATTTCTGTTTAAAAATTCAGCTTATTGGGATGGGGGCGTAGCTCAAGTGTAGAGCATTTTCCTAGTAAGCACAAGACCTTAAATTTAGACTCCAGGATTGCAACAAACAGTAAAATTCAGCTACTATTACAGCTGGTACTTCTGTCATTGTTGGCCTCTTAGGTGTTCTTAGGGACAGAAGCAGGTCATTGATAAACTACATGGAGCTTCATGGGTAGTTTATCTTAATCTAGGCAATAGCAGTACTCATTCATTAAAACATTTCATTAACAAAGCAAGATAATTTTATTTTAAAACCCCAAGGTAATTCAGATTTCCCACCAAGAACAGGAGGGAGAAAGATACCTTAGCCTCATTTACTGGGACTTGCTGGCGATACATCATAAAAGGAAGGGATATGGGAGAGAGACTTTAACTTAAAATGTTAATGTAACTTGGTTCTGTGTAAATTGCTGGCTGAGTTGGCACTTGGGAGAGTAGACTGGTGAGTTGCTGAAGCCCCTGTGCTTTCTGGTCTTAAACAGGATTCCTAACATAATTTCTCCCACTAACAGGTTGGAGTTCTGTCAGCCTTGAGATCTGGATGGTTTATAGCTGCCTGTAATCTCAGCGTTAGGAGGTTGAGGCAGGATGACTGAGAGTTCTGGATTACATAGCGATACCTTATCTCAGAAAAACAAAAAGAGAAAATCCCATTTGTCCCAGTGAATGTTCCTTCTACGTGAAAATACCAAAATACTTACCATTGTTTGAACTTTTAATTTTAACATAGTTAAGGGCTGACTGGAATGATCTAATTTAAAATTTATTTGAAGGAAATGCTGTTAACTTTTAGACTGCTTATATTTTGAAAGGCATTTACAGATCTAAAGTATTTTCTCCATATTTACTGTGTTACTCATTGTGGTAAAACATACTCACTTAGTAATTTGGGGGTGAATCGTTTAGAGCTAATATGTAACACTTTGTCACTGCTATGTTGGTAGGTCCTGGTAAAATTTATGTAGCAGTTTGGAGAAACCCCAGAACAGTTAGAAAGGACTTCCTTTCAAAGTAAGGAAGGGGGGAAGGGAGTCAATAAAACCGTTGTGTTCACTTTTGAACATGGGAATTAGAACCATAGCATTTCTTCAACCCAAGCCTTTTAATCATCTAGCTGTTGGACCTGCCTTTATGTGTTAAATATCAATAATACCATCCAAGTGGTTTTGTTTTAAAGAGACTCCCTGTTACTGTTAGCCTTAATAGGCTATGGGTCATATCCCACATTTCTATTTGTAATTAATATATTTGGGAAGCGCGAAAAATTCAAATTGCATATGGCTTGTCGGAACAACTGTTACCCCCTATATGAAAGATCCACTCTCCTCACCATTCACAGAAAGGTTAAGAATAAATGACACATAATTTCTTGTTCTGTGGTGGCATCAGTAACCTGAGAGCTGGGACTTGGTACTTGCCTGGTGAATAGTTCTTCATGAATAGATGGTACGTTTGGCTCATTGGTTTTATAGTTAGACGAGGTGGAAGGGAAGCTCTTTACTGTCTTGTTTTGCTTTTGACAGGAGGTCTCCCTGTGTTACCCATGCTGGTCCCATCTAGTGGGTGTAAAGTGATCCCCCAGCCTCAGCCTCCCACATACCCTGTGCCTAGCTACCACTTTTTCCCCCTAAGTTGCATTTGTGGTTTTTTTTTTTTTGACTAAGTTAACTTAAACTGACAAAAACAGATAATACACTTGATCTTAGCCAAAAGACCAAGTAGTGATGAACAAGCTAAACAGATAAGTCACATGATTCTGAAATGAAAACCATATAATATATTGTCTTGATCCCACCCACATCTGAGTAACCACTCCTCTACTTGCCTGGCTGTTACAGGTAATCTTTATATCAGTTTCTTATTTACCTTACTAGTATTTTCTTTGTAAAAAGTACAGAAACTATAGAGTGCTTGCCTGGCACATGCAAGTATATGGATTTGATCCTCAACACTGCAAAACAACCAGCTAACGCCCCTCCGTACAAAAAAGCAAATAGAGAAATATATGTGCTTTAAAAAAAATCACTTTCTTATATACATTTTACCTTATAACGCAGGTAACATGCCGATTTGAATGCATCTTTTTTTTTTTTTTTTTTGGTGGGACTTGAGGTTTGAACTCAGGACTCTGTGCTTGCCAGGCAGGCCCTCTACTGCTTGAGCCACACCTCCATCCATTTTGCTCTGGTTATTTTGGAGATTGAAATAGGGGATCCTCACTATTTGCCTGGGCTGGCCTGGAACCACAATCCTGATATCAGCCTCCCGAGTAACTAGGATTGGAGCAAAGGAGTGATGAGCACTGGCACGCGGGCCTGCCCTCCATTCGGGTTCTTCATGGCACCAATGGGAGTTGCTAGTTAATAGGGATTGGCTTGGCATTGGGGTGAGGATTCCAAGCTTTATTGGGAAGGGTTCCTACCTTCTAGTGGAGCATTGGGTGTACAAAGCCTAATACCTGTAGTGAAAAATCATTTTTACATGTTACAAAGACATTTGTGTCAGAGGGTAAATGCACTTGTAGTTAGATCAGGAATTATCCTTCATAGGAGATGTACCAGGTATTTCTGCCAGTCTGTCCCCCTGTGTTTTTTTTTTTTTTTTATTGTGGACTGGGGTTTGAGTTCAGGGGTTTATGACTTGCAAAAAGCAGGTGCTACTACATGTGAAGTGCCACACCTCCAGTCCTTCCTGTTCTAGTTATTTGAGACGGAGTTTCGTGAACTATTTGCCCCAGCTGGCCTGGAACCTGGATCCTCCTGATCTCAGCCTCCCAAATAACTAGGATTATAGGCATGATCCACTGGTACCCATCTCACAGCTGACCACAATGTCGTGATTTGAATAACAGTGTACCTGGCAAGTTTTTTTGATAAAATTCTTGTCCCCTTAAATAGGTGTAAAAGTATAAGACATATTTTTTGTCCTTTTTTTTTATTATCAATATTATGGCATTCTCACACAGCTTGCGGTACATATTTTTTTCCTTTTTTTTTTTATTATTCATATGTCATCCAAGGCTTGGTTCATTTCCCCCTGCCCCCACCCCCCTCCCTTACCACCCACTCCGCCCCCCCTCCTCCCCCCCTCAATACCAGCAGAAACTATTTTGCCCTTATTTCTAATTTGTTGTAGAGAGAGTAATAAGCAATAATAGGAAGGAACAAGGGTTTTTGCTGGTTGAGATAAGGATAGCTATACAGGGCATTGACTCACATTGATTTCCTGTGCGTGTGTGTTACCTTCTAGGTTAATTCTTTTTGATCTCAACTTTTCTCTAGTACCTGGTCCCTTTTCCTATTGGCCTCAGTTGCTTTAAGGTATCTGCTTTAGTTTCTCTGCGTTAAGGGCAACAAATGCTAGCTAGTTTTTAGGTGTCTTACCTATCCTCACCCTCCCTTGTGTGCTCTCGCTTTTATCATGTGCCAAGTCCAATCCCTTGTGTGTTTGCCCTTGATCTAATGTCCACATATGAGGGAGAACATACGATTTTTGGTCTTTGGGCCAGGCTAACCTCAACTCAGAATGATGTTCTCCAATTCCATCCATTTACCAGCGAATGATAAATTTCGTTCTTCTTCATGGCTGCATAAAATTCCATTGTGTATAGATACCACTTTTCTTAATCCATCCTCAGTGGTGGGCATCTTGGCTGTTTCCATAACTTGGCTATTGTGAATAGTGCGCAATAACATGGGTTGCAGGTGCCTCTGGAGTAACCTGTGTCAGCAGTCTTTGGGTATATCCCAAGAGTGGTATGCTGGATCAAATGGTAGATCAATGTCCAGCTTTTTAAGTAGCCTCCAAATTTTTTCCAGAGTGGTTGTCTAGTTTACATTCCCACCAACAGTGTAAGAGGGTTCCTTTTTCCCGCATCTCACCAACACCTGTTGTTGGTGGTGTTGCTGATGTGGCTATTCTAACGGTGAGGTGGAATCTAGTGTGGTTTTAATTTGCATTTCCTTTACTGCTAGAGATGTGAGCATTTTCTTGTGTTTTTGGCCATTTTGAATTTCTTCTTTGAGAAAGTTCTGTTTAGTTCACTTGCCCATTTCTTTATTGGTTCATTAGAGGTCATTCACATCTTTGTTAGATTACATCTAGGTATTTGATTTTTTTGAGCTATTGTAAATGGAATTGTTTTCATACATTCTTTTTCAGTTTGCTCATTGTTAGTATATAGAAATGCTAATGATTTTTCTATGTTGATTTTATATCCTGCTACCTTGCTATAGCTATTGATGATGTCTAGAAGCTTCTGAGTAGAGTTTTTTGGTCTTAAGGTATAGGATCATGTCGTCTGTAAAAGGGATATTTTGACAGTTCTTTTAGCTATTTGTATTCCTTTTTTTCCCTTTTTCTTGCCTAATTGCTCTGGCTAGGAATTCCAGTACTATGTTGAATAGGAGTGGAGATAGTGGGCATCCTTGTCTGGTTTCCCTGATTTTAGAGGGAATGTTTCAGTTTTTCTCCATTAAGTATAATGCTGGCTGTAGGTTTGTCATATATAGCTTTTATAATGTTGAGGTACTTTCCTTCTATTCCTAGTTTTCTTAGAGCTTTTATTATGAACTGGTGTTGGATCTTATCAAAGGCTTTTTCTGCATCTATTGAGATGATCAAGTGGTTTTTGTCTTTTCTTCTGTTAATGTGGTTTATTACGTTTATTGATTTGCGTATGTTGAACCACCCCTGCATTCCTGGGATGAAGCCTACTTGGTCGTGGTGAATGATTTTTTTGATGTGTTGTTGAATTCCGTTTGCCATTATTTTGTTGAGGATTTTTGCGTCAATGTTCATTAAGGAGATTGGCCTATAGTTCTCCTTTTTGGAGGTGTCTTTGCCTGGTTTTGGGATAAGTGTAATACTGGCTTCATAAAATGTGTTAGGCAGTTTTCCTTCCCTTTCTATTTCGTGGAACAGTTTATTTTCATTGACTTCCAGGAACTTTTTAATTTCCTCTTTTATTTCATCGATGATCCATTGTTCATTAAGTAATGAGTTATTTAGTTTCCAGCTGTTTGCATGTTTTTTGTCTTTACTTTTGTTGTTTTCTACTTTATACTTTTTTTTTTTTTTTTTTTTTTTTGCAGTACTGGAGTTTGAACTTAAGGCCTCCAGCTTGCTAAGCAGGCATTCTACTTCTTGAGCCACACCTCCAGTTATGCTATTTAATTTTAACCAACTGTGAAACTGGAAAACATTAACTTTATTCTGAAGTTAGATCTTCACCAAATTATAAATAGCTTCTCCCTATGTCTCTCTTAAGTTTATTCCTTTATACAGCAAGTGTATTTTGCTTCAAAAAGAAGCAATTTTTTTTTTTTTTTTGTGGTCCTGGTTTTTGAACTCACTCAGGCCTTAAGCTTGCTTGGCAGATGTGCTCTAATTTGAGCCATGCCTTCAGCCCCTTTTTAAAATAATAATTTGAAGATGGAAGGCTGAGTTTTTAAATTTATCCAACAAATCTCAGGTGTATGTGTACCAGGTACTTTCACTAAATGCTGGACTTAAAAGGTTCACAGAACTAGCGGATCAATAACAGGACTTGCTATGTATGTGCATAAGGTGAGTTTTTGTGTAAAGGTTTAATCCTCATGGTTGTGGTAAGTACTGTTCTTATCACTCCCCCTGTTTTACAGATAAGGAAATAAACCCAGAAAAGTAACTTCCCGTGGTTGTAGCTGTCATGTCAGTGTTCTCCACGGTAAAGCCATTTCACAATGAAATTGCCTCTGTACATTCTTTCCTTTTTTTTTTAAAATCAGTCCCATGGTGCTCTTGTGAGACTGTGTACAGAAAAACCTATCACAAACCAGAACTTGTCTCCTGAAGAACTGATTTTAAGATTGGATTTTTCCTAATTAGATAAGGATGTCTCAATTTTTTTTTTTTTTTTTATGGTACAGGGAGTTTGAACTCAGGGTCTCACACTTGCTAGGCAGTCCCTCTTACTGTTTACGCCATTCCACCAGTCCTTTTTTGTGATGAGTTTCTTTAAGATAGGGTCTCATGAACTGTTTGCCTGGGCTGGCTTCAAACTGCCACTCTCCTGAGCCCCCTCCTGAGTAGCCAGGATTATAGGCATGAGCCACCAGTGCCCAGTAAATGTTGTCTCAGTCTTGTCAGCTACATTTACTTTGAGAAATGTCCTAGTCCATTCTAAAGGAGTGGTCAAGTGGTAGAGTGCCTGCCTAGGAACCATGAGGCTCTGAATTCAACCCCTAGTACCGCCAAAAAAAAAGTTAAAGACAGCTAGTCATAAGATAATCCTTTTTTTTTTTTTCCAAAGCTGTGGCTTGCCAGGTAGTAATGTCAACATTATTATGTATGGGGTGGCTTGGACAAGAAGGACCAGTCTTTATTTGTTTGAGGGCTATTTGTAATGTACATTACTCTAAAGTGTGAGAGATGTAAGCAGTAGCTCCTTTTCTGTCTAGAGCCAACAAGTTCTGAGAATTGAGCCTCCAACCCCATTTCTTCTGTTACAGAGTAGACCTTACAATGTTTTCTGTGAAGAAGAAATGAGACTGAAAGTTTTCAAAACCTCTACTACTGGTAGCTATTGTCAGTTTTATCATGAAAAGTATCTTTCAGAAATTGGATGGTTTCCATGGTTATTAAAAGATTTATTTTTATTAGAGCTTTTCTCTAATGTGAAGACAGGAGCTGTCATCAGTGTGGCCTATAGTTGACTGGTGCAAGATCAAATTAAAATTTTGCAAGAAATTAGCTTAGCAAGGAAACAGAACATGTAACCTAATAGCCACATTCAGTTTGTAAGTTCTAGAGAGCCACACCTTAAAATTCAGAACCAAAGGCTTTGTTTGGGCCTCCAGCAGGATCACTAGGAACCTTTCGTAGAAGGGCAAAATGCAGAATCTGTGGTAAAGACCCTGCTTCAAGCCCTCTGTGTTCTTATACTGCTTGTACTACCTATCTCAGAATTCTGGACAGGAAAAAGGCTCAAAAAAAGGGACCTTACTATTTGCCAGCTGCTGGGGGTTGTAGTCTGTTGTTTTCTCTTAGTTCCCATCACAGCCCCTCAATATTGTAAAAAGTCCCCAACCCTGAAAATGCCCTTATCACTCCCTTGGTCGCATCCGATAGACCTTGCTTCCCAAGCTTTTCAGGAACAGTAGTTTGACATACACATGGTCTAAGCTTAGCAAAGGTAAAACTTACAGGCATTCATCCTTACATGAAAGCCATAGCAATGAAGAGCTGAACTTTGCAGTCTTCTTAATTATAGCAAGTAGATACAGAGGGGGAACTCCAAATCTGTTCACAGCTTCAAGATGAGGTCATTGCTGCCCTGTACTGGAGATGGGACTGGAGAAACCGGAGAGGACATTTGAATAGGTCTGATGTAAATAATTAGGGGTGGTCACACCTTCCTCCCTTTTGGACTTCAATTGGTCTAGGATGGGATCAAGGAATATGTTTTAGATGTACCATGAATAATCTTACAAGTTAGGGCATTCTAATAAAAAGAGAATTTGGGTTATTTTGTGTAGTCTGAGCTAAAGGGTACGATCCCACCCCACCACAAACACCCAAAACTCTGCCCTTGATATGCACAAGTAGCTCCTTCTATACAGAATGTTCTTTTCCTTCCTCTTATAAGTCTTTGAACTGTCACCACGTCTAGTCCTAGAGTGGCTTTCTCCGGTCCTCCAGCCCTAACGCTCAGCCCAGAGACACTTTGTACCCAAGAACGGGCGGGTCCTGGGCTACGTCTCTGTCCGGCGTCCGGCAGGCGCCCCCGTGCCGCGCTCCCATTGGCTAGAAGTTCTCTTGTCCAGCGCTCAAATCACCCGAGCTCGCCACGCCAACCCGTCCGGACTCCGTACCGCCCAGAGGGCGTGGCCAGGGGCGGGGCGTGGCCAGAGGGCGGGGCGGGGCCTCTCGGCGCTGCGGCCGTCCCAGCGGCCTATGGCACTGGAGGGAGTCCCCGGCCGCGCCCGGCGAGGCAGGGCTCGGGCCGGGCCAATCCCAGGCGACCGGGCGGGCGAGCCCGGGGCCTGGCCCGCCGGGCTGAGCAACTGGGGGTGGAGGACAATGGGCCAGTTCCTGGTGCGTCACGGGGGAGTTTCTTAAAGGGGAAGTGAGCGGAGCTACAGGGCGGACGCAGAGTGCGGTGGTCGGCCGGGGAGGTCCCCGCGCTCTAAAATAATGCCCGCGGCGGTCTCGCGACCATGCAATGGCGAGCGCTCGTCCTGGGGCTGTTGCTTCTCCGGCTCGGCCTCCATGGAGTGTTGTGGCTCGTCTTCGGGCTGGGGCCCAGCATGGGCTTCTACCAGCGTTTTCCTATCAGCTTCGGTTTCCAGCGCTTGAGGGGCCCCGACCGCACCTCGTCGCCCGCCTCGGGGCCCGCGGACGGGCCTGGGGTTCCGTCGGGGCCATCGTGGCTCCAGCGGCCGGAGGTTGGGACGACGGCGGCCGGCCGGCACCAGGCTCCACGGCGACCCGGGCCGGGCGTGTGCGGCCCGGCCCACTGGGGCTACGTGCTGGGCGGCCGCGGCCGTGGCCGGGACGAGTACGAGAAGCGCTACAGTGGCGCCTTCCCGCCGCAGCTGCGTGCCCAGATGCGCGACCTGGCGCGGGGCATGTTCGTCTTCGGCTACGACAACTACATGGCGCACGCCTTTCCCCAGGACGAGCTCAACCCCATCCACTGCCGCGGCCGGGGGCCCGACCGCGGGGACCCGTGAGTAGCCCGCGCGCGCCCCTCGCACGCCCGAGCACCCCGCGCGCTTCCTTCGGTTCTCCGGTCTTGGGGGGGTGGGGGAGGGTGGCCATCTGCTCCCGGGGTCTTTCGAGAGACGTCAGGGTCTTCAGGGTCCTGAGGAGCTTCATCCGCTCCACATCGCGTCCTTTCCCTCCCTTTTTAGGACCCCTCCACTGGACTTGAGGGTGCGTGGATGGGCTAGTGATTGTTCTCTTCTTGATCGTGCTGGAGTCTCCAGATTTGAGAACAGCTGTCCTGCTCATTCTTTTTTCCAGACACTGGAGGGGACAGTCACAGTGCTAAGTGAGGGCAACTCGGGATACTTTAGACGCCCCTGCTCCAGATGAACATATTATTTAAGTAAATCTGTAGACTTCCTTTGTAAGGTTTCGGAAAAAGCTCTCCTTCCTTCCACTCCGATTGCCACACCCTGGTCTTTTTAGTAAAAAAAAAAATTAGGAGTTGATTCCTAGAAAGGAGTTGCCCAGAGTCATCCAGCGAGTTGGAGGCAAAAGGGACAGTGTTTCTCATCCCCAGGGGCTGCTGCTCAGGTGGAGGAGAGTTAGGTGGGAGGAGGGGTACTGGAGGTGTGATTCCGTAGATTCTGAGTCGGCTGTCAGAGTCACTGCCCTGTGTCTTCTGTCCCCTGTAAATACCACTGTGGTGTGGTAGGGCCTTCAGGGAGCACCAACCAGTCCTCACGGTCTACTAGTTTGGGAAGGCGGAGTTCCAAGGGTTACTGTTGTACACTTCAGAGTCCAAGAGGGCAGCACATCCAGCTAAGGTCCTCCTCCCTTGAGGGGAGGGTGTGCATTGCCACGGACCCTGTTAGGCGGGATAGGTGACTGCCTTTCTGAGTTTCCTTCCCCTTAGGTAGGAGTGGAGCAGTTGAATTGCCTTTGGACGTTTGGGACATGAATTTTCCTTCACCTGATAAAAACAGTGGAGTCCAGGTCCTAGGTTCTAAAAAGGAAGCACATGCATTTAGGGGCTGGAAGAATATTAAAAATGCCTTGGTCATCTACAAATCATGTCTTAATTTGCAGTTTGAGTTAGCACGTTTGCAAGGGCACATCTCAGGCTAACTTCAGAGAAACTGGGCCTTTTCAAAATTGTAGGAAACTAATGAGGTATTTTTCTTGCTCAACCATATCAGCCTTTGCACATATAAATATATTTTCTTTTTATTTTTTGTGGTGCTGGGGATTGAACCCAGGGCTCTTTATAACTGAGCTATACCTTCAGTTCTCTTCCTTTTCTTCTCCTTTTCATATAAATGTATTTTCCATCTTAGTCTCTTTGAGGAAAAAAAATAGTATAAAATCTGAAAAAATATCGGACCTTTCTAGATTGTAGGAAATGAATGAGTTATTTGTCTTGCTTATATAGGTATACATTTATATGTATAAATGTATTTTCTTTCAATCTCAGTTTTTTTTTAATTTAGAGTAAACTTCATTAAGTTTTGGGGCAGGGTGTGGGGGAGTAGCAGAAAATCCCACCAGTTATTTTTAGTTTATCTTTCCTGCTAGGTTCTGCATATCCATATGCCTACACATTATTTATTTATTTACATAGTTGCAATCAAAGGTGTACATATCTTGGATCTTAATGGTGTTTTCCCACCAGTGCTCATGGTATTAGAAGAAGGGGAAGAGCACTTTCAGTGAGCCTGAGATGTGCCCTTTCAGTGAGTGCTCTTAGACTGTTTTTACAGATTTCCTTTTAGGTGGACTAAGGAAAACAGTTTAATTGGAAATTGTGATAATGCTTTCTGTCGGGGATGTCTGAAGAGTGAGTTCATGACATTTTAATGCTTTTCTTAATGAATCTGAAGAACCTTCTGGAACATTGGGAGTCCCTCTTCAGCACAGTGAGGTGGTGGTTGATTGAACTTGCTTGTCCCTGTGGCATCTTGTGTGACATAGGCCTTTATTTCAGGTTGAAGTCTGTAATGAGTTTGGTAGTTTGTTTATACAGTGGCAGTTGATCAATTTTTTTGTTTTTTTGATGGGACTGGGATTTGAATACAGTGGCAAATGAAATTCTAAATTGAAGTCAGCTCTCTTTGAGACAACTGTTGCTGTTGGAAAGATGGTGTTAGCAGTCTTGGGGCAGGGTGGCATTTGGCCTTTGGGTTGGTCCTTTGCGTCTTTGAGCAGATGAAAGAGCTCTGGAATTATGTGGCCTTGAGTAGATCCTCACACTGGCCACTTACTAAAGAATTGAAAGGTTAATTTTTTTATATTCCCCTTTACTTTAACTCCAAACTTTCCAAGAAAGTTTTCAACCTGAGCATTGTCGTTCTGTCTCTGAACCGGTATGGTGCACTTACATTCTCCTAAATAAATAACCTGTAGTAAATAATCTTTCAGATTTTTTCTAATCAAATGTATTCATGATTGACGCCAAATGCATTCTAACGATTCATTTAAAAAACGATGAACTTGCTGTTAGAATATTACTTAGGAAGTGCAGTCAATGGGTGCTCAACATGTGTGTCTGCTTTAATCATATTTACTTGAGACTTGTTTGTCTTGATTGACTGGAGGTCCCATGGTGAGTTAACCTGAAGTAAATGAATCTGGACATTGTAAAAATAGCAAATCTGTCCAGCTGCAGGTTGCTATGCCAAGTCATCTCTCACATGCCCAATTTGGGTGGAAGGTTCTAAATTCAGAAGCGTCTTTGAGTATATTTAGATATTTCTGTAATCCTGTGAATGGCAACTATAAATTTAGGCCTTAGGCATCTGACCATTCTCACTTTCTCCTCAACCATATTGCTAATAAAACAAAAAAGCAAATCTCAAGTGATTACACCAAATGTTGACCCCTCACCCCCAACTGGCTTATTTTTAGGCACTTCTAGTTTAAGATGGCCTCCTCCTGAATTCCTCTTTCTTTCAAAAATCTGTTCTCTTTCAGAGTCAGGCCCAAGTCTTTTTTTTTTTTTTTTTTTCTGTATTGCCATTGAACTGTTTGAAGCTGATTCACCTTGATTAACTCAGTTCTCCGTGTTGGTTCTTTTCCTTTGAGCTGTTATTCCACATTTTAACATTGCCTGGGAGTTGAGTATTCACTTTCATTTCTCTTCCTCTCATCTTCCTAGATTATCAGTCCCTTTAGCGTGGGAGAGCTCTTTCCCATATTACCTTTTGTCCCTACTTAGAACCAGGTAGATTTTTGATCATCTCTTATAGGTTAAGTATATGTGGGAAAATTTTTTTGAACATGTCTTTTGATTGTGTTAGACAGCCAGAAGTTTTCTATGAGAGTCCCTAGTTTCTCTGTCTTCTCTGTTCTGTGGGCATTAGAAGAGTGAATGCCACGAACATTCACTTGGTGAAGTAAGTGGGGAGTTCAGGTGCGGCTCAGCCAACTGGTTGCTGGAAGACATACTCTTTAGCCTTGCCTTGTACTTGGAAGATTGAGTTCTTAGCTTGAGGCTCTTAGAAAGCTATCGGGTGGGCTGGCGGAGTGGCTCAGGTGGTAGAGCGCCTGCCTAGCAAGTGTGAGGCTCTGAGTTCAAATCCCAGTACCACCCAAAAAAAAAAGTAGTGAGAAAGCTATCAGGTGAGACTGGACATCAATGAGAATATCTAAAGAGTAAATTTACAATCTTACAATGTCATGCTGTCACACCAGGACAGTTTTATGAGGTCAGTTTTTTCCCTTCATTCTCTTCCTCTCTTCTTTTTTCCTATTTTTGTTACATTCTAAAGAATGTATAGCAATTATTTGGTAAAAGAAAATTAAAAGTGTTCTAATAAACAGTCACATCTTTAAGTGGATTTTCTTTTTTTTAATTTTACTCTTGTGATTCTCTATAAAATGTTTGTATGGGTTGAAGGTATGGCTTAAGCAGTAGAGCACCTGCTTTGCAAGCACAAAGCTCTCCAACCCCCAAAAAATTTAGTGACTGCTTGGGCACTACTTTATTATATTATATTAATAAATAATAACATTGTTATTATTATTATTATTATTATTTTTTTTTTTTTCAGTGCTGAGGTTCAAACCCAGGGCTTTATACATGCAAGGCAAGTGTTCGCTACATGCCCATCTCTTGAGAAGTATTTTAAATCCTGGTTCCTTTTTAGTTGTAGACTGAAAAAAAAAAATACCATAAAACCTGATGGGAAGGAGCGAAGTACTCAAAATTAGTAATGACTGCAATGACCCTGTGCAGGTGGAAAAAGTGTCATATGCCACAGACTAGGATGTAACTCAGTAGAGGGTCCTGATATGGGATCATTTACTCTCCATGTAGCTTGGATACTAAATGATATGGGAGCCATTTTCTGATGAGGTGGGTTGTTGGTGTCTACTCTTTGTTTCTGAGCCACAAACCATTGTAAGTTAAATATTTACACCCAGCAGAATGTTACTGAGTTGGCAGAATTGAGCATGGGTATCTCCCTGGCCACCCTCAGCATTTTCTTCTGGCTAGCACTGTCCTAGAGAGGCACAGTCGAAATCATAGTTCTTGCCTTAAGAACCTTTGCCATTCTATAAATGTATATAGAAGGAGTCAATAGGGCTGGTGGAGTGGCTCAAGTGGTAGGGCACCTGCCAGAAGCATTGAGGCCCCAAGTTCAAACCCCACTACTGCCAAAATAATAAATAAATAAGTACATAAAAAAGAAAGAATCAACAAATAGAAGAAGCAGGTGCAGTTTCCCAGTCATGCAGTTTGCTGACTTCATGGCTTGTGCTAGATAAGATAGCTGTAGTTCCTAGACAGCCCCCTCTGGATAGCTTGTTTTTAAAAAAATGTATCTAAAATTTTGCTATAAATTCTTTGTCCTAGATTAAGTGGCCTAACACAACATAAAACAGGGCATCTGGAAGGCTCAGCTAAGATCTGATATAGAAGCTTTTTATGCCTGCTTCTACACTAAGGCCCATTTCATTTCAGCTGATGCCCGTAGGAGGCCTTTCAGTCAGCAGGTCCAGCCATCAAGAACAAGGAGGACATTGGCTACCATAGCTTCTTTCACAGGGACTTGGGATGGGGCCCATTAGTATGCTCCAAGTGCAGAGAAAGGAAGGGTAAGATTGAAAATGTCAGATATGAATCTGTTTCTGGAAATGGTACTGGGGCTTTTCCACTTTGGTCTGTAGTAAATGAAATCTTCAAACAGTTGTCTTCTTTCTTTCTTTCTTTCTTTTTTTTTTAATTTTTATTTTATTCATATGTGCATACAATATTTGGGTCATTTCTCCCCCTTCCCCCACCCCCTCCCTTACCTCCTGTCTTATTTCTTTCTTTACTATTATTTTTCTCCCCAAGCTCCTGCAATTATCTTCTGGGCTTGAGGGAATGGGACAAAAGAATAAATGAAGCCCTTGGGCAGAATTTATTATTAAGGGTGTACTTTATTGTTATTTTTCACTGTTTCTTCAACCCTATCTTCCCAGATGTATTAGTTTTCATTATCATTGTCCTAGTTTGCAGTGTAAAGAAATATCAGTAACTGAAGGGATAGAGGGGTGGCTCAGCACCTGCCTAGCAAGTGCAAAGCCTTGAGTTCAAACCCAGTAACACCCCGAAAAAAAAAAAGAAAAAATCAGTAACTAAGAGCTTTGCCCTCTGTGTGGTCCTATACTTGTATTTTTATTTATTTGTTGTTTTCGGTGTGTGTGGGGCACAGGGGATGGAACCCAGACTTTGAGTATGCTAGGCAAGCACTGTACGACTGAGTTGTACTCCAGTCCTGTACATGTTTTGTACAGTGTTTCAGAATGGAAAATTGGTGTTGAGTATGAGGATGGAAAGTGCTGGTGAAGAAGGGACCTCAGTTCCTGCTTTGATTTATGTTAAAAGAGTTAATGGTGGAAGTAATGGGATTCTTTGGATGAACTGTCAGTGGAGAAATATTACAGAGAAGGTCATATACTACCCAGCTGGAGGACATTGGTACTAGAGCTGCAGGTGTTACTTTCTGTGTGTGATCGGCTAGCGTATGATTTCTGTATTGAAGTATTACAAGTAATCATATGACAGGAACTCTCTGCAGTTCATAATGATTGTGAAACTAAGAGAAATATGAAGCTGGACAGGGTCAAAGAGATCGTTTATGGTGATAAAACTCTCTTGGAGGGGGTACTCTCATTCAGTCTCCTAACTTCCTCCTTGAGTTCTTTCTATTCCAGTTTTGAATAAACGTGTCTGCAGTTCTGTGACTTGATTCTGCTTGTAGACACTATAGCCACTGTTGCTCTTGACAGAAAACCTTTGCCATATTGATATATTCACAACGAGTTTCTGAATAAATGAGTTGCTGGCAATTTTAGTTTCTGATGGGTGTTTAGGTTTTGTTTTTTTTTTTTTTTTTAAATAGGATCTTCTACTCTCTTTAAACTTGCTCTGTGGCCCAGGCTGGCCTTGAACTCCTGATAATGCCTGCCTCAGTTTCTGAAGTGCTGGGATTTTAGAATGCAGGGATTACCTGCACAAGCCACCACAACCAGAGGGTGTTTATTTAGTTTTATGGTATTTTTCTCTTTTAAAGTAAAGTTCCTTTATTTAATTTTAATTTTATTTCTTTTTCAGTTCAAATCTGAACATCAATGACGTGCTAGGGAATTACTCATTGACTCTTGTTGATGCATTGGATACTCTTGCAGTAAGTAGTCAGCATTTTTAAAATTAAGATAATTAAGATACGGGGTTTTAATGCTGATTACCCATTTCCCCCCTGAATGGAAATCCAGAAAACCCGGTGTTCAAAAAGTTTTGATGACAACATTTATTTTGATGACCTTTGTAGGAATAACAAGAAAAATACTGAAGGCTAAATAAGGGGAAATGTGAGTCTCCTTTACAGATTAAGAAGAAATATATGATTGGTTTTTAGGAAACCTGTTTTTCTTCCAATCTCCCACCATCTGAAGCCCTAAAGGAATGCAGAGAATTCTGTTAATATTTACAGTTACTAAAGTTAGTCTTTCAGGACTAAAAGATCTTCAGGATCAGTTGGCACCCTGAAATGCCATCCAGCTGCTGGCTCCTCAGGAGCATTGCTGCACCTTGGTGCCGGGCCAGCTGTGGAGGCCCTCTCTGTATGCACTGTTCTTATTTGCTACTTCTTGTTTTTAGGGCATTGTCCACTGCAGGCATGGCTTGCATATTTGGGTGCTGCCTTTATCTCCTTGTTACATGGTGTCCCTCAATTTTTCTGAAGCTGGAGACTTTTGAACAGATGTGCAGAACACATTGAAGGCAATAAAGCACTAGAACATATTATCAGCTGTGTCTGTGTTCTTCAGCTGCTTCATGATCTTTTACCATAGAATAGTTTTCAAGGGATTATTCTAGCCTGTATTGTTTTAAAATCTTAGCGATTTTGCCAACCCCTTTGCCCTCCTTCCTTGCACAGCAAACCTCTACCATTAGAAAATTCCTATTGCAGTCTAACCCAGTTCCTGTACTTAGTAATTTATCTAGTTTCTTTTAGCATTTCTTAGAAGAACTTAAAGCTGTCTGTTAGGAGATAGAACTGGGTAATTCTAGCTAAGTTTTGCATCACATCTGTCTAGTATTTTGCTAGTTAGTGGTATTACCAGAACTTGGAAAGAGCTGGAGGTAATTCTACATCTTCATTTTATAAGTAACAGAAATAGGACTAGGCCCCAGTCCTGTAATCTGCTGCTTGATTTCCCTCTGCTAGGCTGCGGTTGCAAAGCAGTTAGTTTCCCAGTGTTTCCTTCTGAAGTGATTGCTGTTGCATTAAGTCATCTACCATCACCGATCAAGATGTGCCCAGGCGAGCAGGGGTAGCCTAATTACACCTAACTCACTGGAGATACTAGAGGCTGGCTCAGCCTGCAACTGTTGTTTTAAAAGAAATGTCCTAAAACCCATATAGTTAAAGAAAGCACACTTCTCCCTGAGCTCTTTTTAAAATCCCCATTGTCTTTTTATCCTCTTGCTTGATAAGTACAGAGGCCTTATCTCTTTAATTTGCTGTATTCTCCTCCACACATGATGGTAAGTGGTATATAGCAAGACTGCAAATTGCTGTTCAAGTGAATTTCTACTAATCCAGCATTTCCCAGGACAAATTTGAAGGGTATATTCCTTGAGAGGAGAGTTCTGTTTCCAAATGAACTGGAGAAATTCTGTGTCTGTCTGACTGTGGGGAAGCCACGATGCACACTAGCATTTTAAAAGTTCTGAGAAGCCCTGCATAAAGAAACCTATTCCATTTTTCTGCCCAGTTTAGCTTTTCTCAACCAAGAGTGAATTATTTCATAGTCTGGTTACTTAGTGCTCAGTAGCTATCTGACTAAAGTGGTAAATTGCAATGTATAATTAAGAGTTGCTGATTTTCTTGTTTCTGTGTATGAAGATAATATAACTCAGTGCACTGTAAGATGCTGAATAATAGGAGACAAGGGCAGTGGAGAAAGAGTAATAGGATGGGTTAATCTGATTAATTATGATACATACATGTCTGAAATACTAAGGCAACCCCCCCACAAACTGTTAATATACACTTAAATAAATGGGGTACAGGAAAATAAAAGAGGTCATTTTAGGGATGAGTACCAGTGGGAGGGGGAGGGCACAAGGAGAGGGTGAAGGAGGGCCAATATGGTAGGTGTATCTTGTATTCACGTCTGAAAATAGAACACTGACACCTGTTGAAATTGTTCTGAGAGGGGGGGGATGGGGGAGACTGATGGAGGGGGTGAATTTTATTAAGATACATTGTAAGCACATATGTAAATGCCACAATGTATTCCCCCTATGCAACTATTATATACTAATAAAAAATAAAAGAATTGCTGGATTTCTTCACCATTCTCCACTTGATCTGAGATCAGGTTAGCATTGCAGCTGGTATTGTTGGTAGTGAAGGTCTGTAAGAAGACAGACCCACCCATTTCTGTGGTTTTCATGCTAGAATATCTGGCTTTGAATGTATTAGCGCTTCAGGCTTACTTTTCAGGTGTTACTTACATTGAGGTTTTCCTTTACTTTTGCTAGCATTTTAAACAAGTGTTAACAGATGTGTGGGAACCCTGGGTAGGGAGAACAGTTCCTGACCATTGCATATAACTTGCAGCATTATTGCATAATCTTTTAAAAAAAGAAAGAACTGAAAGCCAGAAAAGAAACTTCTGCGATTTCCTCCGTATGTTATTGCAAATAATGACGAGAAAAAAAAAGATGTAGCAAACTAGTAGAATTGGAAAAGAAAACTACCTGAAAGAAGTTATCTGATGAAATTATTCTTTACTGATTTTTGGGTTCTTGGTGTGTGTGTCCTTATGATGTTACTAAAGGCCTAATGTAGTCATAGAGTTTTGAGTGGCATTAAATCATTTCCATTTAGGTTAGTCTGTAAAATTTTATTCCCAATTTTCACTTCATTTAGGAGAGAGTGTCTTGTTATGACATATCTAACATGTCCCAAATATGAATCATAATTGTAGACCACTTTTTAAATTGCACATAAAGCTGATTGTTTGTATGTTTTCTTTTAAAATGCCACTGGTTTTATTGTCCAAAAGAGGTTACTGTTATTTCTCAAGGTGTTTAGACATCTGGGTGGCAAGCAAGTTCAGCGGACTTTCCAGATGTCTTGGTCTCCTGGGTGCCGTGCACCCAAGCTGTAGATTTAACTGAGGAGCAGAGAGAAAGTCTTCTTTTTGTTTCATTAATTTTCCAATTCCATTTTTCCCATTCCAGAAGTTTTAGGAACTACAGTGCTTGCATGTTAAATAAGATCAGACTGAGGCATGAGGGAGAGAGGCAAGGGAAGAGATGGGTGCCAGTGATTCAATGAGGAAGTGTTTTCACAGTTTTGCCATTTGGAGATAGGATTCTTGAGTTGCAGGAAATGGACTTGCCATCTGTTCCGGAATATACTGTGAAAAATAACTGTGCTTTTATACTTTTTGTGTTTCTACTCCCACGGTGGCTAAACCACAGACGGTACAGACATTTAGATTCAGTGGCCTGCCTGTTGCCTCAGTTTCATTTCAAGCTGCCATAATGGTTTGTGTTCCTCTTTTTAAAGATAATGGGAAATTCAACTGAGTTCCAGAAAGCGGTCAAGTTAGTGATCAACACCGTTTCATTTGACAAAGATTCCACTGTCCAAGTCTTTGAGGCCACAATAAGGTAAAACAGTGCATAAAATGGATTGAAGGCTGCTTCTTGTGTGGATAGGAGATAAATTCCCATGAGGTTTCCCAGCCCTCAGATCTAGGGTAAAATGGGGCTTAGTGCATATTTGTCATGTTCCTTTTAATATTCATCAAAACTGGAACAGTTGATGTTTTAAGAGTAATCACATTTTGGAGCAACAGAAAAATGCACTTGTTACAATGGAGATTGTACAAGATTGGTGTCCTTTTACTGTAGGGCTTCATGGTTTCCCTTTGTGTCTGGTCTCATTTCCTTCCTTCACTGTGTTCATATTTCTGAGAGTTTCTCATCTCTCCACCACAGAAAACCATTGTGTGCCATTTTAATTTATTTCCTTCATATGCATCTCTCACTGATACCTCTCTTTGTTAAGTGTATCGGAATCATGGTGTCTGCCCAGTTTTATATGTTGCTGTCTTTAGTTTGATATTTTGTGACTATTGTTTAGTATTTTGGAAATTGTATTATTACATGACATTCCAGTTTCTAAATGTAATATTTATTTTAAATTAAAGTTGAGAAATTATTTTGAAAAATGTTGCAGCATACTTCAGATTATTGGAGTGGAGCATTCATAGGTCTTCAGGGAAGCAGATCTAAACTGGTAGCTCCCACTGCTCCCACTGCTGGGTAGGTCATTTTTCTCCTCACTTCCTTCTCCTCTCACCTTGTCACCTTCTTTTATTGGAGAAATTTATCAGTTGCCTGGCAGCCAGAACTACAGAAGTTCTTGATATTTGTTGTTTTGCTTATGTTTCTTATACGTCTTAAGTTCTTCTCTGAAGTGAGATACATCGAGTAATAAGACTAGTAGGTAACATGTATTTTGAGAACAACTGAAACATTCCCATTTAGTACAGTCCTTAATGCTCTAAGATTAAAATGATCAGATCTGTCACCATTTTTGTCCTTGGTAGCCTCAGATGAATGATTCCCCACTCTTTGATTAATTCAGTGAACTAAGAATCAGTCACTTATTAGAACCGGAAATGACTTCAAGAAGACATTAAGTCATGTCCCTGTGACTCCAGGCAGCTCTGAGTCCATGAGGAAATAGAGGCAGCTTTTATAAATCTGAAATGGATTGTATGGGCTTATAAGCAACATAATTTTATTTCTTTGTTCTTCCTGCTGTTAGGGTTCTTGGAAGCCTCCTTTCTGCTCATAGAATAATAACTGACTCCAAGCAGCCTTTTGGTGACATGACAATTAAAGATTATGACAATGAACTGTTGCACATGGCTCACGACCTGGCAGTGAGGCTCCTCCCTGCCTTTGAAAACACCAAGACAGGGATCCCCTATCCGCGGGTAGGTGGACTGCTTTGTCCCTTTGTGTTTCATAGTTTGGGTTTTCCTGAAGTAAAACTCTTTGATTCAAAGAAGGAATGGGGCTGAGGTAGAAGAGGGAAATGGTTTCCATGGGGAGAATTTAGCCCTAAATATATGTAAATATTTAAAAATTCCTCCAGTATTCTTTGAGCACATCTTGTGTACTGGAATGCAGTGAACGTAACTGACTTGGTCCTTCCCTGTAAGGAACTTATGTTCCTGTGTTCAGTATTCCTAAGTTCTTTTACACTTATGATTTTTATCTCCTGCTACCAAATAGTGTGGGAATTTATCTTCATTTCTGACTTGGATGTATTTCTCCAAAGATCCTCACCATGTGTATTGTAGAATCCAGTGGATGTTTGTTTGAAAGCTTCATGTAGATGTTTCAAAGAAAGCCTGCACAGACCAGCAAGTTATATGCTGATTTAAATGCAAGATCTGTGAGATTATTTCTGTGGCATCTGATTTGCCACACCATAACTCCCCTGGGAATTGAGTCAGCCTTTTAGGTAACCGGGGGGAGGACTGCCAGACCACAGGGCCTCCATGATGAAACTGGCTGTCATACCACGGCTCTCCAGTCAGGTTTGTGCATGTTTGACGATCAGGAGTGAGTTTGTAGTCACTCACTTAAAAAGTAGACGTGATTCTGTGGTTTGCAATTTGTCTCTAATGTGATCACAGAGAAAACCTGTCAAAAAGAGATGGTTTAGTGTTATAATCAGTCCCTGAGGACTTGCTCTTATTAATAAGACAGGCTCCAGGGTTCTTATTGTCTTGGTTATATTTTTTAAATTTAGCGTTCATATTCATCTTAGGTATAAGGGGGCAAGCAGTGAGCTGACCCTCATTGCAGTAAGCTTGGTTTATCTGCTCAGTGCCATATCTGTAACTTGGCTTTTCAGCCCTTTAGATTCGTGAGTTTTGCTACAAGACTTGTTTTGTTTTGTTTTCTGAAATGGGGTTTCATTATGTGCTGAGGCTGGCCTTGAACTGGCTGTGTATGCAGGCTGATCTTGAACTCTTGATCCTCCTGCCTCAGCCTCTTGACTGCTAGGATGATTACCATGTGAGACACAACACCTGTCTGCCAGACAACTTTTAATTCTTCCTGTTCCCAGGTGAATTTAAAGACAGGTGTTCCTCCTGACAGCAATAATGAGACATGCACGGCAGGTGCTGGTTCCCTCCTGGTGGAATTTGGGATTCTGAGTCGACTACTAGGAGACTCCACATTTGAGTGGGTCGCCAGACGAGCAGTGAGAGCCCTCTGGAACCTCCGGAGCAACGACACGGGATTATTAGGTGTGGTGCAGCTACTTCTGCCATTGGGTCCTGCATAATGTTTAGTCCCCCTTTCTTTCATCTTCTCTGGGGCTTGCTTTCTTTGTACCTGTGAATCTGAAACTTGACGAGTGAAAGAACAGCTCTCAGTGCTTGCCGTGTCCAATTTCTTCTTGTAACCTTTTGCTTCAAGTGAAGGTACAGGGGTTGATGGACAACAAGAATACTTTTGCTGTTTGATAGCTCCTTTGGTTTGGGTCCCTTGGTGTATTCCACATGAAAATTATTATTAATGGAAACGCTATGAAAAGAACTGCTTCTGAGGCAGATTTTAATTGCTTTAATACAAAGTTCTAAATATAGTATTGTAGGGTTTCTGGTGGAGCAGTCTTCTTTTAAAAAGTTTAGGAGAGCTGGTGGAGTGGCTCAAATGGTAGAACAACTGCCTAGCAAGTGTGAGGTCTTGAGTTCAAACACCAGTATCACCAGAAAAAAAAAAATTTAGGAATGTGGTAGGTAGTAGAGTGAAAACCGAGATTGAACCTATATTAGGTGGGGTGGTTTTCCCCTTTAAAATGTTTAGAGAAGATAATTATTATGGAAAATTTCAAGCATTAACAGTAGAAAGTATAATGACTAATAACCGTTGTGCATGTGTGTTCATTATTCATCTTCAGTAATTTTTTTATATTTTGATAATTGAAAGTACTGTTTAAATTTTTTTTGTGTGTATGTGTATTTGAGACAAGGTCTCTCCATGTAGTCCAGCTGGCCTAAAACTCACAATCCTTCCACCTCAGCCTCCACAGTATTGGGATTACAGGCATGTACCAACACACTGACTTAAAATGGGTGTTTACCTCGTATAACTCTTTGTCTTATATAGGGTATTAGGACATTTGTTTTTTTTGGGCATTGGAAAGCAATGTTATTGGTTTTTCTAGAATCATAGTGGTTTGTTGTAAATGTATTTTTTTAAAGCAATTTTTTTATTTTCTTATGTTCTAAGATTTATGTGCAAATTTGTATTTAATAGCAAGAGTAGAAATAAAAGTCACTCAAGCCAGGTGTGGTGCTGGATTCCTGTAATCCCAGCACTCAGAAAGCTGGGGTAGGAGGATTGTGAGTTCCAGGTTAGTTTGGGCTCCACAGTGTGACCCTGTCTCAAAAAAAGTAAGGCAAAAGAAAAGAAAAAGTCACTCAAATTGTCAGTTTATCACCAAATGGTTGACCAGTATCACTACACATTGTCAGTGTTTTAGCTTTCCACAGACTCTTTTAGCCTAGCATGTAGTTTCCATATATTTTCAATTATAATACAATATTAATATAAATGGGTTTGATCCTACCTTACGTTTGACAGGTCACTTTGGTGTTTCCAAATGGTTACCGTGTTTTCGTAGTCACCATTTTTAAAGGCTGCATAATTGCCTGTTAAGTCTTTTTCTGGTGTTAAACACTTAGGTTATTTTTTTTCCTTTTTTGTTTTCCATTTTTAGAGATAATTTTTTGGTGAACTTTTTTTTTAGGACAAGGTCTTGCTGTACAGCCTAGGCTGGCCTTGAACTCATAATCCCCCTTCCTCAGCCTCCTGAGTTCTGGGATTATGTTTGTGCACTACCATACCTGGCAAGATTTTTTTCTTTTTGTTTTTAAAAACATTTCTTGGGACAGATTCCCAGGCATGAGAATACTCCTTTGGATTTTGAAATACATTGTCACTCTGGGAAAACAAAATGATAAACCTATTTTTCTTTTTATTTAAATGTTTATTCCCATGTTGTATTAATGATTAAATACACACACACACACACATATGTATAAAGATCTTTGTTGCCTAAGCTGTTGATAGGACTGATAAACGTTTAGGAACATTCACTGTTTGTACTTCTTAAGAGTAAAGGTGCTGAGTAGCAGTGAAGTTGAAGTAGGAGGTCAGTCCTTTTCCTTCCAGATAATTGGGACCTGAAGTGCTGTTTGTTTCCATAGGCAATGTTGTGAACATCCAGACAGGCCACTGGGTTGGAAAGCAGAGTGGCTTGGGTGCTGGGCTGGACTCCTTCTATGAATACCTCTTGAAGTCTTACATTCTCTTTGGAGAAAAAGAAGATCTAGAAATGTTTAATGCTGCATATCAGAGCATTCAGAACTACTTGAGAAGAGGGTATGTTTCTTTACCATTGTCTTCTGTTGCCTTACAGGATGTGTTCAGAAAGTAAATAGTAGCTGTGCACCAGTGTCTCATGCCTGTCATCCTAGCTACTCACGAGGCAGAGATCAGAAGGATTGTGGTTTGAAGCCAGCCCCAGGCAAACAGTTTTCAAGACCTTATTTTGAGAATATCCAACACAAAACAGGGCTGGTTATGTGACTCTAGTGGTAGAGCACCTGCCTAGTAAGTGTGACATCCTAAGTTCAAACCCCCCAGTACCACAAAAAAAAAAAAATAGTATTTGTTCTGAAATGTTCCCATTTTCCTAAACTAAATTCCCAGGGTCTGCCTTTCCCTTACCATCTCTCTTAAGCTGCTTGTCACACATTTGTGGATGAAGATCTTTGCATAGCATAGTATCCAAAACCCAATGGCTTAAAACAATGAGCGTCACTCACATAGTTCCTGCGGGGCAGGAGTCTGAGAGCAGCTGAGCTGATGTGGCCTAGAATTTTGCATGGGGTACTGTCAAGCTATTGGCCAGGGCTGTAGCCTTGTCAAGGCTTGAGTGGGAATGGTGGTCTCCTTGTGGGCTCACTTGTGTGGTGGTTAGCAGGCTACTCTCTGTGGGATAGAGGTGTCAGCTTCTTGTCAAGGGTCTCCTTGGATACCTGCAATGAGGAGGTACTTCATGGAAGCTAGATTCCTCCAGATTGAGTGTTCTGAAAGAGAGAGAAAAATAGTGGTTTCATGACTTAGACTGGGAATGATATGCCACCCCTCCATCAAAACCCAGACCAGCCCTGAGACATGCATGAGTCTGCTAGAAGGTAAGAAGGTAGAGGTCATTGGGAACCATTTTGGAGACTATACTAGAGGGAGTAATACATCCCTCTGCTTATTTAACTGTGGTTTTCCTTGCAAGTAGAACTGTAATGCAGAAAAATTGTTGAGTTCTTTTTGTTTTTTCTTTGCAGAGAATTGTGGGGATTGCTCTTTGTACCTGGAGGACATTTACCACATTTCCCCACCTCTAAGTTTAATTTCAGCATTGTTTGCCATACTCATTTGTGCATTCTGAATGCCAGCAGAGAGAACGTGTATGCATGAGGGAGCTGTTCAGAGCTACAGTGGCTTCTCCCAGCTGGCATGTTTTCTTCCCCACGTGTTTTTTTGCGGTACTGGGGTTTGAACTCAGGGCCTATACCTCGAGCCACTCCACCAGCCCTTTTTTGTGATGGGAACATTTCAGAACAAATACTACATTTTTTTTTTTTTTTTTTTTATGGTACTGGGGTTTGAAGTCAGGGTGTCACACTTGCTAGGCAGGTTCTCTACCACTAGAGCCACATCACCAGCCCTGTTTTGTGTTGGATATTCTCAAGATAGGGTCTCTCAAACTATTTGCCTGCACTGGCTTCGAACCACAATCTTCCTGATCTCTACCTCCTGAGTACCTAGGATTATAGGTGTGAGCCATGGGTGCCCAGCTCCCAGGTATTTCTTTGTATGCATAAATGGGTAATGCAGGTAATGGTTACTGAGCTGCCTGCTTTGCAAGATTTCCTTGAACCCATTTCTACATTAACTATTGTAGGAACCACCTGTGTGAGTGTTGATGTTCCAGAGGGATTTTGGCCAGAGTTAAGTTATTTTCGTTTTTCAAAGCCCAAGCTAAATTGAGTAGTAAATCCTGAGGGTCCCACCTTCATGCATTCCCTCAGACCCATGTTGTACACCAGAGAAGAAATTTTCCTTGAACAGAAAGAAGCAGACTTTCTCACTCAGATCAAACCCAATGTAGGCCTATACTGTATGCCAATTCAACATAACAGTGTTCTTAAATCCAAGTGTCAAAGTGCTTCTAGCAGAATGCAGTGAAATCCTGTTTCATTACAAAAGCTGAGTTTAAAACTTCTATTCTATGGTAGGTGTTATATTTTTCTAGAGTCTGTAGACAGTCTTTTCTCCAAAGGTTAATGAAGGAGTTAGGAAAAAAGTTAAGTTGATGCACTTAAATGAAGCTATTGGAGCTGCTGGAGAAGCAGCAAGAGCTCCATTAGTGAGCTTACTTCTCATCTGCGTGTGTGGCTTGGATTTGTAGGCGGGAAGCCTGTAATGAAGGAGAAGGAGACCCCCCACTCTATGTCAACGTGAACATGTTCAGTGGGCAGCTCATGAACACCTGGATTGACTCTCTGCAGGCCTTCTTCCCTGGACTGCAGGTATTTTGCCATCAGATTTGCTAAGAGTAAGCAATCATTGGAAGGGATTCTGCCCCTCCTTTTTTATTTTTGTTTAGAGCATTCTTTCCTCATTTGGATTTGGAAGGTTAATAGCACATGGATCATTATGTTTGTGAAATCCTTCCCTAGACCATTGAACAGAACCATGCTAAATAAGTACAAAGCCATACTTGAAGAGTAACTGTATGTGCATTTTGGATAATTCATCTCTGTTGTTTGTTCTTTGTTTGTGAGTACATTTAACCTCGTGTGAGGTTCCCATCAATGTGGCATTGGTTAGATAACAGATATCTGTTTGTCTGAGGTAATTGTCTTTAACTGTGTTCATAGCTGAGATAAGAACCAGGGGGTAGTGGAGGCCCATGCCTCTGCGTCACTTGTTCCATTCAGGGAAAAGCATCTAAGCCTGATGACCTGTATCTTTTCCTTAGGTTCTGATAGGAGAAGTGGAAGATGCCATCTGCCTCCACGCCTTTTACTACGCCATATGGAAACGGTACGGGGCCCTCCCCGAGAGGTACAACTGGCAGCTACAGGCCCCCGATGTTCTCTTCTACCCTCTGAGACCAGAGTTAGTGGAATCCACTTATCTCCTCTACCAGGTACTGAACTTCATGAAACAATAGTTTGTTGTTTTGTAGGGACTTGATAAAGTTACCACCTATCCGTGGTCCTGCTAGTATTCTGTGTCATTCTTTTTTCTTTCTTTTTTTTTTTTAATTTATTGTCATTCTTGGTTCCATAGGATAAAGAAAGCACCTGCAGCCAAATGTTTTTTAACTTCACATTTGCAAAGGATCCTGTCTTTACCATAGGATATCCATCTTTATTTTATTTTTTAAATTGTTTTGGCAGTACTGGAATTTGAACTTGGGGCCTTGCCCTTGTTAGGCAAGTATTCAGCCATACCTCTGACCCCCTTTTTTTTCTTAAGGTTATTTTTCAGATAGGGGCCTTGAGCTGTTTTTTTTTTTTGGTGGTGCTGGGAGTTGAACTCAGCTTTGTGCATGCCAGGCAAACACTCTGGCATTGTGCCTTTTGCTCAGGACTAGACTCAGACTGCAGTCCTCCTACTTATGCCTCTTGTGTAGCTGAGATTGCAGATGTTTGCCACTATACTCAGCTTGTTTGTTGAGATGGAATTTTTTTTTTTGTAGTAGTACTATGCTTGCTAGGCAGGTGCTCTACCACTTGACCCATACACCAGCCATAGAGATGGAATCTTGCTAACTTTTTTTTGGTCTTGGTGGCCTTTAACTATGATCCTTCTGGTCTTTGCCTCCCAAGTAGCTCAGATTACAGGTGTGAACCATTGTGCCTAGCTTACTTATCATGTCTTTAAATAATCGAGGAAGATTTCTTCTTCAGTGTGTTCCAAAGAACCCTTTTTTGGGGATGCAGTTCTGTACTAATGTGCTGTGAAACCCTGGTGTATGTGATAACTATTCAGACAAGAAAATTCTGTTTCTTGTTTATATAGGAAGTAATCTGGGATTAATCTGAATGCTTTTTTTTGTTGAATATTAAAAACATATATATTCATCTTTCATGCGATTTCTTTAGTGCCAGAGAGATGTTTTAACTGTGAAGTGCCTTCTTCCTGGCAGTTGAAGCTGGATATGTGCAGTTTTGTGTATGCTATATGATACCCACACTGCAGGTCCTCACCTGTGCACAAATAAAGCAGCACAAGCTCTTGATTTTTCAAGAACTGGCCTTTGGTGTTAGTCACCTACGTGGGCAAGCCCTGGCAAAGGGACCCTGACTCTTACAAACTCTGGTAGTTGGATGTATACCATGGTTTAGATTTAGTCAATAACTTTTTGTGCAGAATCCATGACACTTGCAGGTAGATGAAAAAAGGGAAGACCCTATGAAACTAGTAGTCGTACTCATGCTTAAGGAGAGACTTCATGCGTTTAAGTAATCTCTCAAAGGGCAAAAGTGATCTGTGTGTGGTCTTCTTTGTGTGCCTGGGGAGAGCGAGGCTGTACATGCTGTGACAATGGCTTGCTCTCTGGCTTCTCTTAAGCTTAGTCCTGCTGTATGTGGGTTTATGCCTCTTCACTTCGATCACAGTCTCTTTCCTATTTGCACCTTCTTATGCAGGCGTTTTCTTAGGATCCACAGCAATCTTCCACTTTACAGCTTTATCCTGTGAAGCCCTCTCCCTGCCCTCGGCTCTTTTAACCAAGAGAGAGCCAGACTGCTGGTAGTTCCCTTCTGTTGCTGCAGGTTGGCACTAGGCACAAATTAAAGATGATCCTCAACTGCTAAACTGTTATGGGGTCAGTCTCATTTTCACAAAGAAATTTTTTTTCTCTAACAAAACCATCTAAAAGCATGTGACAGAAGAACTGATTTCTTGGGGTGACTTAGATACCTGTCTTCTAAAGGACTCTTGTTCCCATTAGCCTCTGCTTGCAGTGCTGTAATCGAAATGGGGCCAGGTCCTACATCCTGGACCTGCCTCTCAAGTTTCTGGAGAGTTCTGAGGCAAGGTAGAAACTGGATTTGATATGAAATGTGATATGGGCAGGGTATGCATTGGGGAAGCCGAAGTAGAGCGTTGTTGTACCCTGGAACAGATTTCTTAACCCTGGCTAAAGTTAAGCACATCACAGGTAGGCTTTGATGGGAACTGACCAAGCACCACAGTCCTTTAATATTGTGACCCTTCCCGATAAAGGTAAAGCCAGCCCTGTTCCCTCCTTTGGCTGGTGACTCACTCACCTCCTCGGGGAACCTGCAGTCACTGTGGTATTTATTGATGGCTCTTCTTCCATGCCCTTGCTGGATCACATTCTCTCATGTTCTCTCTAGGCAACCAAGAATCCCTTCTACCTCCATGTGGGAATGGATATCCTGCAGAGTCTGGAAAAGTACACAAAAGTCAAGTCAGTTTTCTAAGTTACTTACTTTTTCTTTTTTGGTCACTTGTGATTTATTTTGAGTTGTTCTGGGGAAATATTGTCCTAGTTGGCATGTTAAATTTGTAGAACAGATCATTTATGTCAGTTTTGTAGGGAAATGGTTTACCATTTGGTATAGTGGAACCTGTCCGTTACAGGTGGACTTGCTTCTTGTGTTTACTTTTTTTTTTTTCCTGTAAAGTTTCAGCAGACTGTGTTTGTTCTTTTTAAATAATTTATTTCCTTAGTTATGCAAATAATACACTAAAACATTTAGGGAGTGCAGAAAATATTAAGATATAGAATATTTTCATGTCCACCTACAGAGATAATCATAGTCAACATTTAAGTATATAGACTTATAACCTTTTTTATGTATTTATATATATATATCTGTGTGTATATATAAAAATATACTCTATTTCAATTTTGTGGCCTGCTTCTTGTATTTTCTTAGAAAATACTATTTTAGGATACTCAAGCAATAAGTCAGTTCTTTAATACTAGGACTAAAAATTTAAATCAGTCCTTCTAGGACTGGCAGAGACTCAAGTGGTAGAGTGCCTGGCTGTCAAGCACAATGCCCTGAGTTCAACCCCTAGTACCACCAGAAATAAAAAAATTAAGCCCATCTTTCTAAATTAAGCCACCAAACCATTTTGAAAATACACAAACAATCTAGACTAAAAAAGGAATAGCTCTTCAGCATAACATAGTTTATTATCTGATGTTAGAATGTTTGATTGCTTATTCTATTAATAGGATACTTTTGCTTCTGGGGTAAACAGAGGCAGTACTAACTGGGCAATTGTTTTGTAGATGTGGGTATGCCACACTGCATCACGTCATAGATAAGTCCAAAGAGGACCGGATGGAGAGCTTCTTTCTCAGCGAGACTTGCAAATACTTATATCTGGTATGTGTGTTGCAAGATTAACCACGGGCTCTTTAGTATTCTTAGAGCAAGCACTTGTGTAGTGTTTATTTACTGGGCACTGCTTTGTGTTGGATGTTGTACATTCCCATGGTTACAAGCATAGTCACGACAATATGGCTGACTTTCTCATGGTTTCCAACCTCATTGTGGAGACATTTGTCAAGTAAACTAAAAGGAATTTATGATTAGGAACTGCGTGAAGAGCTGGTAAGGATTGATAGTGGATTGTAGTATGATGGTCAGGGAGGCTTCTTGGAGGAGAGTTTTTCCCTAGGGTACTGGTTATCATATCCACGTGTACCACTGAGCTACATCCCCAGTTTGAGAGTGTGGTTTTTCAAAGCCCTTTTTTGCTACTGTTTTTTGTTTGTTATTTTGTGACAGGGTCTAACTGTGTAGTCCAGGTTGGCTTTGAACTCTCTATTCTCCTGCCTCCGTCTCCCAGATTCTAGGATTACAGATATGCACCACCATGCCCAGCTGTGCCTGGTGATGGTTCTGTATTGGAACACAACTCCTCACTCTATTTTTAATTTTTTTTGGGGGGGCTGTGCTGGGGATCAAACCTTGCACCTTGCACATGGTAGGCAAGTGCTCTACCACTGAGCTATGTCCTTAGCCTCTCTCTCTCCTTTTTAAAAAATTTTTTTTATTCATATGTGCATACAATGTTTGGGTCATTTTCTCCTTTTTTTTTGAGACAGGGTCTCACTGTATAGCCCAGGTTGCTCTTGAACTTGCTATGTAGTCCAGGCTGGTTTCAACTCACAATCTTTGTGCCTGAGCCTCTCAAGAGTGGGAATTACAGGCATGCACTACCAGACTGGGCTTCCAGCCTTTCTGACTACTCTTGATATATGTGTTCTTGACTGAGACCTGCCCAGCTATCTCTCTGTATGTACATCTTCAGGTGTACCTTTGTGTATGTATGTATGGAGAGAGAATTTCTGAACCTGGAGGGAGGCTTTGGGATCACCTAGTCAATGTTCATTCTTCCTTTTAGGGAATTAGAACCTTCATTGAGAGTTCATATGGCTTGCCTGAGGTCTTGGGGTGACCATGTGGCAGAGCTGAAGCTTAACTATAGTCTTGTTTCCTGTCCAATATTCTTTACAATTCACTGTGCTGCCACTTGTATATGTGGTGTCCCTGTGCTTGTGCACGTAGCTGCTTTTCTGCCCTCTCTGCTACCTGACTTGAGATGGCCACATACAAAGAACACTTCCAAAGGCACTGAGGGTTAGGAGTGCCTGGTTTGGGGGCTTCAGACCTAGGAGCAGTGGTAAAAAGTAGTGTCATCCATTTCCATGGTTTACAGGCCCACACCGGGCCTGGTCAAATTTCCTCTGCATTGAGTCAGAGTTTTATGAAGTAGGCCTATGAATCTAATTTTGACAAGTGCCTGCAGTGATTCTATATAAAGCTAGGTTTTGGAACTGTTGGTCTAGTTGGTCAAGATTGTTCTTTATGGTGTCATAAAGACATAGAGGAGGTAGTTTGTCTACCAGCAGACCATGTGGTGTAGCCAGTGGGAAGACAGTGGCCTGCAATCACTACCCTGGTGTGTAGAGGTCTTCAGTGCAGCCTAGCCGTGTCTTTCAGGTGTCAGAAGGATTTTAACGGCTTGTTCTGTAGTAAAGGAAGGAGACCTTGATATGTGTATAAGGGGAAAGAACTCAATCTGGCAGGAGAAAACCTAGGCTCTATTCCTTTGTACTCCCATTAGCTGCATCAAGTGTCATTTTCATCTGTAAACTAGTTTAGGTGAGTCAAAACTAAGTAATCTCCCCTTATCTCTGGTTTCTCTTTCCATGGTTTCAGTGACCTGTGGTCAACCACAGTATAAAAATATTAAATGGAAAATTCTAGAAATCATAAATTTAAAAAAATTTTTAGTGTAGTGTATTGTGATAGTTGTTAATTTTTATTATTAGTTATTATTGCTAATCTTTTGCTGTGCCTAAGTTATGTATTAGAGTTTATCACAGAATGTAGGAAAAAAGGTTATAAATATATACATATATATATATATATGTATATATATATACACACACACACACACACACACATATATACGTCTATATATATGTAGATGTATATACACATATAGTTTAGTAGTATCTGGTTTCAGGCATCCTTGGATTTTCTTGAAGCTATTCCCCATGGATAAGGTGGGGCTACTGTATTCGTTTACTCAACATTTGCTGAACACCTGCCTTCTGCCCCACTGACTCGTCCCATATGAGGTTAGGAGTTCTTTCTGGATATACCCATTGTACCATCTTTCATCCTTTGCATTGTCCATGGTTGAGCACTGTCCATGTGCCCTTGTGGCCTCAAAAGCCCACCCAAGAATTGAAGGAATGTTGGTGGATATAATGGAATCTGGGCTACGCTGTGTGTGTACGGTGGTGGGTGACACATATGCTTCTCCCCTCTAGCATCTCCAATTCAGGGTCTAGGTGTTTGTGAGGTCCTAGAATTCCAGCATGAGGACTCTTAGAGGGCATTTGAGACTTCTCCAGGGAGACTTTAGAGACTACCTGTGCTTGGGTCCTAACTCTGGGGTTTCCAAATCTCAAGGTTTGGGTCAAGTGTGGGGGTTGGGAGCTGGTCTAGACATCTGAATTAAACAAAGCAGGTGATCCTGCATTACAGCCTGGGGTCAGTAGCCAGTGATGCCTCTTCACCCACTTCTGTTCCCTGAGTAACTGGGACACTGTTCTGTAAGTTAGTTCCAAATGTTCTGCAGTTACCAATTGTACCTTGTACCTTTTTTTTTGCAGTACTGGGGAGCACATGCTAGGCAAGCTCTCTAGTTGTATCCTTAGCCCCAGTTTATTTTATTTTATTTTACTTTTGCTGGGACTGGAGTTTGAGCTTAGGGTTTCACGCTTATAAAGCAGACAATCTACCTCTTGAGCCACATCTAACCCTAATTTTATCTCTTTTCTTTTCTTTCTTCTTTTTCTAGCTGTTTGATGAGGAGAATCCAGTACACAAATCTGGAACCAGATACATGTTTACAACTGAGGGCCACATTATATCTGTGGACAAACATCTTCGGGAATTGCCTTGGAAGGAATTCTTCTCTGAAGATGGAGGGCAGGACCAAGAAGAAAAGTTTGTTCACAGGCCGAAATCTCATGAGTTAAAAGTCATCAACTCTAGCTCCAACGTGAGTTGCTTTTTTTCAGCAGTGGTGTTCATGTGGAAGAGAAGAAAATACTACTAACTCCTTTGGCATTCAGAGTTCCGAATAGAAAGTTAATGACAAACTTAGATTAGGTATTTTAAAAAGAGTTTCAGAAAGCGACAACTTACATAGATGTCTTCAGGATGTAGGGAAACCAGGGAGTAGTAACACCGTCATCCCTCCTGCCTGCAGGGGCCAGTGGAAAGAGTAGCCACAGCAGTTCGAAAGGAGAGTGGGAGGGGCAGCTGCTGCTAGAACCCACTGCTTGGACATGGCTTCAGCAATGCACAGAAAGGGAGCCAAGCAGGGTTGACTCCTGACCCTTCCCCCTTTCTTCCTCTGGTCTCTTACTGATGCTTCTCCTTGGCTATTCCCACCAGAAGCCTGAGGGCAAGGGAGCTTGTTGATATAATCCGTCAATCAGACCCTCTTCCTGGTGGCCAGAGTAGGTGTAGAAGGATGGAGGGTGGACCCACAGGGGCAAATGGAAGATTTCCAGCAAAAAACACCCATCAGCAGGAGAGAGACGAACAGACCTAGCTATATGGCTGCTAGTGAGGATTCTTCTCAAAGTGCAACCAGTATTCCATTTCATTTAAAGCAGGGCTTCATTTAGCTTTCCTGAATTATCCTGACATGCAGCAGGAAAGATTTGGAGATGGAATTTCCTCAGGGCCTCGTGGAAGACCTAGGCTGTGGTATTGGTTTGAGTCAGATATAATAGTTTATATTATAAACTATTCAAACTGGATCATTTGAAATCTCGTCCTCTTGTCCCACAAGCATTCGATGCCATCTCTTTTCTCAGGAAGAGTCACTTGTCAAGTTCTGCCACATCTCCACACAAGTGGCCTTGGTTGGGGACACCCTTTTAGTATTTCTCCTTTTGTGAAGGTGTTTACCATTGGTCTATGAAGTAAACTGGCAGGAATAGATGGACCTATCAGATTTTGGTGGTGGTGGCGGCAATGGGGTTTGAACTCAGGGCCTCATGCTTGCTAGGCAGGTGCTCTATTACTTGAGCCACTCCACCAGCATGATCCTCCTATTTTAGGATCCCCACTGTTTCTGGGATGGCAGGTGTACACCACCACACCCAGCCTTTTCACATTGAAATGGCAACTTTTTTTTTTCCCCTTCCCCTCCTTGCTGGCCTAAGCTACCATCCTCCCAATCTCAGTCTCCTGTGTATACCTCAAAATGACAGGTGTGCACCACCACACCCAACTGTTGGTTGAGAGAAGGTCTTGCGAATTGCCCTGTTGGCCTCAAACTGTGATCCTCCTGTTCTCAGCCTCCTGATCGCAGCCTCTAGCTTCCATAGACATTTCTTTCAGGGATAATACATTTAGCTGGTTCTCAAAACCAACATTTCCTTTGAGAGTATAAAAAGGGCCTTTAATAAAAGGAAAGTAGAGGCAGGTGCCTCCAGAAAATAGGGGCACCTGCCTCTGTTTTCTAGCTACTTGGGAGGCAGAGATCAGGAGGATTGTGGTTGAAGCTAGCCCAGGCAAATAGTTTGAAAAGTGCTGGCGGAGTGGCTCAAGTGGTAGAGTGCCTGCCTAGCAAGGGAGAAGCCCTGAGTTCAAAACCCTAGTACCACCCAAAAAACAAAACAAACAAACAAACAAACAAAAAATATATATATATAGACAAGTTTTAGTTGTCACAACTGAAGGGTGGAAGTTGTTTCTGGCCCTGGGTACGGGAGGCCAGAGATGCTGGTCTGCTGACTCTCCTACAATATGTAGAACTGCCCCCTAGCTCACAGTGTCAGTCATCCATCCACATTTCTGGAGAGATCAAAACTTGGGTTTTAAATTCAAAATTCACATTTCCTTCATTTTTTCTTTCTAGTGCAATCGCGTTCCCGATGAGAGGAGATACTCCCTGCCCTTAAAGAGCATCTACATGCGTCAGATTGACCAGATGGTTGGCTTGGTATGACCTGCTCCCTGCGTGGCTGAGTCTTAAACCAACCTAACCAGCTAAACCCAGACCACACCAAAATCCAGTCTGAAGTAGAAGAGGTGGAAGTCTGGCTGCCAATGACAGTAGAAATCTCTGTCTTAACTCACTACCCACATCTGGGTAATTCTTGCATACTTCAGTGTTTCTCTTCCATTCAATAAAATGTCCTATTTTTCTTAAGGATGTAATTAGAAGTGAGAAGGTACATGAAAATTGTTTTCTTTTGACATGCTGATGTTGCTAAGCACAGTAGATGTGGCTTCTTTGGGTTGATCTTCCCAGCTTCATAGTTAGAATCCAAGTCTCTTCACTTTGCCACCACTTGCCATACTGCAGTATTGCTACCTCTTTTTTTAGAGGATTGGAATGAAATTCCTGTACAAAGGGCCTGAGATTTACTTGTCATCCTACTTAGTTGCATTGAAAATGTCATCCTTTCTCTTACTAGATTATTGGGTTCTTCGCCAGATATCCAGTTATTTGCTTCAGAATAATGATCTAAACAGAATTCTGATAGACAGTCTCTTAAGTTGTGATGTCATGGTATGTATAAGAGGTTAACAGATCTTTTGGGAGGCATTTGCATTTATTTTGAACATGAACTTGTCTGAGAAACTCTCGCAGTTCCATATCCAGGTGCCTTTTAGGGAGGAAAAAAACCCCTAAGTCATCTGAGCTTCCATCCTTCTCATATTTTCTAGCCAAGGATTCTCAGTTCTGACCATCTTTGAGTTAGAGTTTTGTTTTGCCTGTGTCTAGTGCCAATTAGCTAATCAGGGGTTCTGACCATCTTTGAGTTAGAGTTTTGTTTTGTTTTTGTTGCCTGTGTCTAGTGCCAATTAGCTAATCAGGGAGAAAGAAATGATCAGATGACTTTCTGACATCTTTGAGCCATTTCTCTGTGTAATACAGGCTTTAGGCTAGTGCCTTATAAGGTTTTGGTTTGGGCTATTGGCCGTCACAACCACTGCTATGGTTGCAGCTGGCTTTATTGCCATATAACGAAACAACAGTGAAAGAGGGAGAGTAGGTGTTAGTGAAATTCTGGAGATTTTATGGTCAGTCTTTGCCTTTCAGTCTGTTATTTTTGCCAAGCGTATAGAAAGAGGAAGTTGTGCTAAAATGCCCTCTTTAATTTTTGTTATTTCTTTTTTTTTCTGGTGGTGGTACTAGGGTTTGAACTCGGGGCTTCATACTTGTCGCTCTACCACTTGAGCCACTCCTCCAGCCTCTTAATTTTTGTTAATTTCTTTAGCCAGAACACTGAGTGCACCTACCAAGCAGGGATGGACCTGACCCCTAGTCTGACATCAGTGCACCATCACAAGGTGAAAGGCATCCTAATTGAAAGGGTAGGAAGTCACCTGAAATTCTCCAGCCTCATACACCATGCGTCTTACCTGTCAGTGGTTGCACACTTCACACAATTTCCTTCCAGTCTTCTTAAAACTAGAAAAGCCCCATTTAAGCCATTGTATTTTCAGTCAAAAGGGAAAAATTTTATTCATTCTTGAAAATTTAACTGTTATTACTTTGAAAATAGATGTATTATTCAGTTCTTTGATGTTTTTAGAAAGGGGATTTTCAGTAGTAAATGTGTCACCTTTTAAATATTTACTATGCAGTTTGTTTTAATGTAACAAATATGAACTGCTTCTGTTTTTTTCTTTTCAGAAGCATTCTATTTATCAACGTCTCATCTATAGAATAGAAAACTTTGAGAATATTACCTATTTTTAAAGTTTTCATTAATTCAGTAGAAATGTTAAACACACATGTGTATACATGTGTCTTTGCACACCTATACCTTTTCTCTAGGCAAACTGAGGTGCAACTATGAATGACCCACTTGGGACAATGGGACATATCAGGGAAGGAAGTGAGTTCTTCATGCCTCTGTTTCCTCTTGCTGCTCTCCCCATCTTTCGCCCTAGCTTCTGTGGTGCGTAAGCACTCCAACATTCCAGTTCTCATCTGGACACTTTACCTGTCACTTTTGAGGAAGTTCAGGCAGTCTTCCTCCTTGTACTCTTGAAATAGGGATCTACACCACCACCCTTGAGTGCTGTTGATGCATCTTGGGGACAGGCGGATGTGAAACATGTTTTAAGTCTCAAACCCTCTTGGCTTCTGGGTACTGGACTTACACCAGTTGGTGAGGGTGAGTAGCGTACTGCCTGTTTATCCTGGATATTGAGCTTCTAGACTAAAGTTCAGTGTCATGTAATCAGTGATTTGTGGGGCCAGATGCCAGAATGCTGTCCACTACCAGTCATAAAAGAAGGTTCTTTGAACCTAGCTTAGAGCTTGTTTTCTTTTTAAAAATCAGAATGTTAGCAACTGATATATCTTGCAGAGTTTTTCCTATTCCTTCTATTTTGTGTTCTGAAATATTGGGTCGGGGAGAGCCAAAGAGAAAAATGTCAGAGAAATTCCCTTGTTCACTGTTTTCCCCCAGAAATGCCTTGAGTCTGAACAGACTTTATCCTTTGCAAGAGTTATAAGGCTGGGCTATCCTTATTTCATGAGTAGCTAGTGTCTGCATTTGTCAGTGTGTTGAAAGAGGGTTTGCAAAACTGTTACAGTGGTTTTGCAAAAGCTACTGTAGAAAGCTACCTTCTGTTCAGGCTTGGTGGAGCCCTAGTCTCCCATGATGAAGTTTCAAACCATTACAGACCTGCTGTAGATAATGTGACTGAGAAACTTCATTCTCCTGAAAGATAGATTGACAAAGGAATGCTTGCTAGCTCTGACTGCTCTGGCCGTTGTGAAAGCTGGCTTCTGTTTTCAAATCCTTCCTTCACTTTCTTTCTAGCTCTTTTGCCAGAGTTTGCTCTTTGTGACTGAATACCTGGTTCAGATTTCCTGAGCTTTTCTTCTGGATCATGGACTGCACATGTGACACCTAAATAATCTTCTATGTATATAAGGAAAAACTTACCACAGTGGTATCTTTGCAGATGAATGTTAGCAGAGAGTCCATAGTTACTTGATTTGGTAAATGTGGTTATGCAACCTGAGGGCATAGGATTGGATTCCCTTTTCTTCCTTCTCAGCCCCACAAAAGAAAAGCACACCTCTTAATTATCTCTTAGCTTAGTTAAGTGAATGACTGCCAACTGTAACTCTTCCCTTTGGATTCTGTAGTCTCAACATCAAACATTCCTTTCTTCTGGAGGGCTCTAGAGCTCTTTTTCTTTTGAAATGTTCACATTTAGCACTGGTAGGTAGAAGGTAGGGCCAAATGATTACCTTAGGCACAGAGTGGCTGAGCAGGGACTTTGGAAGAAAATCCTGATCTTTGCTTTCCCATTCCAAGACATCCAGCTCCTACTAGTGCCTCTTCCCTGCAGTGCAGGAACCCTGTGTGAACGTGAGAAGGTAGGGTGGGCTGGGCCATGTGCTCCCAGCTCTACAGGGCTCAGGGTTATGCTCCCACTTGAATTTGGATGTGAATCTGGTAGAAATGTCAAGTACCTGTGGAACTCGCTGATTCACTACTCTCTTCCCTCTTTCTGACAGGCAGAGGAATATTTTTTTAAAGGTATTTTGTTTTAGTGTTAAATGGTAAAACACAAGCTGCATTTTTATTTATTATACATGAGAAAAGTAAATCTGTTTTTACAAAAACTCTAGAGTTGGAAACTCTGGGAAAACTTACTGAAGTACACAAATGCTTCTCTTTCTGTAATGTGCAATATGCTTTGCAACCATAGAGACTATTTTATGTTTAATCTGTAAATAAGAAATGTATTTAAATAAAAAGGGAGCTTTTTGTAGAAGGACCAAATGTTCTTTTATAAATATACTAAGGAATATCTTGCTCTTGGAAATTTATTAGGATTTTTATGAATAATTTTTATTAAAAGATTCTTTTTTTGAGTTGTCATTGTGTTTCTTTACACACTCATATATACACATTACATATGGGACAAGAAAAATCATGAAGGAAAATTGTAAAAATAGGTGAATGTGATTTTTTTTAAACATAAGCTTCCTTGTGGAATTCCACTCCAGTTTTGTTTGTCACATTTAAATGTCGTTCACCTGTGGGTGGGACCCTTTTTCATGATGTGTCCCATAGTTAGTCTCCCCTCTACATTCAGTTTCTTTCTCTTGGGCATTGACTCCTAGTCTCGTTGCCAATTACCTGAACCTATTTTCTGCACTGTCCTAAGCAAGGTACCTCATGTCACCTTACCTCTCGGTGGTTAAGATGGGACTGTGGTACCCTGCTGTCAATGTAGGGAGCACTTGCCCAGGGGAGGAGTGAAGGAAGGAGAATTTCAGAAGACTGGCTTTCCTCCCTGCACTGCCACCTGAGTTCCTGATGGGATCTTTTTTTTCTTTTGGTGGGTGGGACTGGGGTTTGAACTCAGGGCTTTAAGCTTCCAAAGCAGGAGCTCTACTGCTTTAGCTAAGCATGAAGCCCGTTTTACTCTGGTTATTTTGGAGATGGGGGTCTTTTGAACTATCTGTCTGGGCTGATCTTAAACCATTTTCCTCCTGATCTCAGCTTCCCACGTAGCAAGGATTATAGGCATGAGCCACTGGTGCCCTGCTTCTGATGGGATCTTGCAGAAGACAACTGATTCTACCCTATGGCGTCTCAGTGCCCTAGCTTTGATTCATAGGCAGTTCTAATGGGACTTTTTTAAAGACCAGAGTGCCACAGGGCAAAAGGAGAGTCCTGATTTGAAGCAGCTTATTAATGTGAAAGCACTCTGCCATTAGGTGTAGTGGGTGGCTTTGTTTGTGATGTGTTATGGGTTTGTAATCATCTTGACAAAGCCAAGCTGGCTCAAATCCATTTGGAGGACAGGTAAAGAGCCATGGATACTGCCTTGGAGCCTATCCTTGCCACACTGTACACATATGTGACTTAATAGCCTGTTATGTTCAAACTTCATCAGTGTCCTCAGAAGTAAGTTTATTTTTCCATGACTACAGCTGAAAGGTAACCAGCCTTATCCCCAGTCACATTTGAACCAATTTGAACCAGTGGCCTCAAGATCTTTTGTGTACCATTGTGGATAATTTGTCTTAGTTCCAGGATGGAGAAAAGGGATATAAATATCTATTCCTGGAGGAAGGTAGTTGAATTCTTGGTATAAGCCCAGTGACACCTTGTTGAGGGTTGGTAGGAGGAGGTTAGGTCAGTCAGTGTAGTACACTTGCTTCTGGCTTCAGGAGCCCAGTTCTCAGGTGCTAAGGCCCTGTGCCTTCAGAAAATGAAGACCCCAGAAGCCTCAATGAAAGCCCTTTCTCCTCAGCTCAGAATATTCTGTTTCTGTGTGGGGCATACGGGTGAAGGAGGCTACTTTTGAGGGTCTGTCTCCACACAACAGAAAGCCCACTTTGAAGAGCTTAGTCCTCCTCAAATGTCACCTTTCCAAGGTGAAGTTCTCTCATTGTGGACTATTTTGAAAACACTGTTCAGAAGGAGCACGGCTGGCTGCATCTCAATGGTGAGCAAATCAGATTCTTAAAGAAAATGTCCTGGTTATTGGAAAAGCTTAACCACTGTTTAAGAGAAAAAGAGAGTGAAGAGCCAGCTCCCATTGTTTAGAAACCAGTGTGGACAACCTTAAACTGATTTTTCTTTCTTTTTTTTTTTTTTTGGTAAATACTGACTTTTAAAATAGCACTGTAAGTTAGTTACTCTTTTTATTTTTGTTGCTGGGGATTGAATCCATGGCCTTGTGCATGGTAAGCACTGAGCTACACCTTCAGCCCTTATGTTACTCATATATATTGAAATCTTAAAACCACTGCAATTTATTATGTGCCATCATTATTAAAATGTATATTTCAGCAAGTTGTTTATTAGTAGGGAGTTTTAGATTGCTTTTTTCTACTTGAATTATTTTTTCCATTCCTCTTCCATTATAGGATTTTATGCTGATTTAACAAGGGATAATCCCTTGCAGTCTAGTCTTATTATTGCTTGTGTCAGGAAAATGTGCAGTTTTTTTACAAGTATTGCATATGGCTTAACAATTTTTCTAAAATTATAGTCATTAAGTACTAAAAATATCTTTGAGATTGAACTATAATAATTAACATAAAAACAGCATGAGCATATTTTTTGGTAACTAACAAAAAATAAAGTTTTATTGAAAAAGTTTCCTTTTATTAAATGACAGAGCCCCCCTCCAATTGTCTTTGTATAAACACTTGTATACTACTGGTGGGAATGCAGACTCTTTCTGGAGAACAGTTTAATATTACCTTGTAAAGGTGAATGTGTATATGACTTGGGATCACTCAGGGCTGTTATGGGGCTGCACAGGCGAGTGGTCCCTGTCTGTTCCACTCCTAAGCAAGTTATCTTCAGCAAGCTATGGACTGTGGTCCATGTCCCACTACTTGTGTTTTGTTTTGTTAAAGTTTTATTGGAGCATAGTCTTGCTGATGTGTTTGCATATATTCTATGGTTGCCTTTGTGCTGAAAGGCAGAAAGGGGCATTCTGGCTTCCAAAGCCCCAAATATATACTATTTGGCCTTTTACAGAAAAAAATTGCTGGCTTTTGGTGTACAGATGGAAGGATCTTTTGCATGTAGGAACAGGTGACACAGGCTGTTCATAGCATTGTTTGTCAAAGCAAAAACATTGTAAAACTACTCAAGTGTCTATAAAATGTCAACAGTTCATAAAAAGGAATGTTATAGAACAGAGGCAAGTAACAGTCCATTTAAAGTTAAAAAAAAACCCCAAAACTAAATAAATTCATTGCTTAGAGATTCAAACGTGTGGAAAACTAAGGTAAATTTATGATCATCATAAAAGTCAACATAGGGATGTAGTGAATTCTTATTTTATGTTGCCTTAGTATTCAATTTTTTAAAAGAACATTTAATTATTCATTTACTTACTTATTCATCATTTCACTGTCACTATATCTGCCAAGAACTGTTTAGGGCTCTGGGGAAAGATGGCAAACTGAAGTCCCAGTCCTAAATATGGTGGACTGCTTGAAAACAATATAGACATGAGCAAATAGAAAATGCCAGGTAGCATTAAGGGCTATGGACAAAAATGAAGCATGGTAGAGAAGGGGTTGAAGGGTAATGTCTTCAGATGTTATGCTTAAAGGGTGGCAGCTCTGAGGAGAGCCATGGAGCAGAAGCCTGACAGAAGTGAGCGTGGGAGTATCTGGGACAACAGTGCTGTAGGTTGGGGGAACGGAGGAGGGGCCTCAAGGTTGGTGTGTGTGGGCATCCATAGGTTGGGGGGACAATAGAGGGGACTCGAGACTGGAGAATGTCTGAAGGGAGTTTCTGGAGAGTCCCCTTCCAGACTCACTCAGTTCTGTCCCTCCCTGTTCTGTCCAGCTCTTGGGTAGAGATCACGCTCACAGCTTTGCGCCATGGCTTCCTCCACCTCAAACCCAGCACACTTTGAATCTCTCTGTTCCTTTTTCGTCTCCATTTTAACTACCGTGTTAGCTTTCTCATATCAGTAGCGGGGCCCAGTCATCCTAGACATGGTTCCAGTTCTACACAACACACACATGGTCCATACCCGTGGCCAAAGGTAAGAACTCAGACATTTCAGACCAGTAGAGCGGGCTGCCGCTTTCCCGCCATTTCCGGCGACCAGGCTCTTGGCGCCTGCGCACTCCGCCCGCCTGGCCCGTCCCGGTGCGCATGCGTACTCGCTGCCTGACGTCATTCCCACCTCTGCGGACCAGAGCACCGCTGATGCCTCCGGCTCTTGACGCCCTCCGCGCAGGCCCTGTGGGTGAAGCTCTTCCACTTCGTGGCCTGTGTGGCGGTGTATGGGATTTGCGTCTTCCTATGAAGAACTAAGGTCCCAGGCTTTCCTCAGATGCTGGAGAACTCGGGGTCCAGCTCGTGTTTCCTGTGTGAGAGCCCCTGGCCCTAGGCACGATGCCAGGTACAAGGATCCTGTGAACACCTGCTCCCCTTCAGCCCGCTGTGACACTCGAACCCCCAACTTGAGGGGGGGCGGAGCTCCCAAAACAAGGGTCATCCTTGGAGGATGTGGTTGGGGAGAGGCTGTTAGGGGTCTTCTAACTGAGGAAGGTACTGGTGACATTTTGCTTAGCCTGCGTGGTAGTTGCATGAGTGGTCATTCAATATTTTATTTATTTTTATTTTTTTGGCGGCATTGGGGTTTTGAATCCAGGGCCTCAGCTTGCTAGGCAGGAGTGCCTACTGTTTGAGCCACTCCACCAGCCCAAATACTTATTTTTATTTATTTATTTTTGGCGGTACTGGGGTTTGAACTCAGGGCCTCATGCTTCCTAAGCAGGCATTGTACCACTTGAGCCACTCCACCAGCCCATTTATTCTTGTTAAATCTAGGCTGGCCTTGATTTCTGCATCCTCTTGTCTCAGCCTCCTGACTGCTGGGATCACAGGCTTGTACCACTATCCCCGGCTCTATTTTTATTCTTTATAGAGTACACATGTTTTAGTTGTTCCTCAGTGTGTGCTATAGACTGAAGGTCTGTGCCCCAATTCACATGTTGAAATCCAAGCTCCAGTGTGGTGGTATAGGAGGTGACCTTTGTAGGGAGGAGTAGATCATGGGAGTGAGTCTTTATGATGGGGAAAAAAGAAAAGAAAAAAAGAAATTGTCAGACTGCAAGCCAAAAGATAGGCTGGTACCAGAACTGGGCTGACCTGATACTCTGACCTCACACTCCCAGCTTCCAGAACTGTGAGAAACAAAGGCTTACTGTTTAAGCCACTCAGTCTATGATAATTTCTGATAGCAGCCTTAACTAAGTGCATATGTTAAATTTTATAAGTGAATTTTAACATTTTATGTGACACCAGCTTCCCAAATT